CCCTGCCATAAGCAAAGGGCACTTTCTACCAGACCAGGCTGCTCAAAGCCCCATCCAGCCTGGGCTTGAACACTTCTAGGGATGGGGCATCCACAATTTCTCTAGGCAACCCGTGCCAGTGTCTCACCACGCTCATAGTGAAGAAATTTTCTGGTATTTCCAGGAGCTTTACCTTTGCCTTTCTCTGGTAAAATTCATGTTTAAACAACTGAGATATTACTGTTTCTGAGCTGGGAGATGTTTGCACTGGAGATTCACCATGATTCCGTTTTGTTAGCAGCCTCATCTCTGTAGTGGTACAACAGGGCACGGAGGCACTTCACAGTTGGCGTAAAATCTGAACCAGTCTAGTTGTAAATGAGATGGGAAAATCATTGGCCTGGCTGGGTTCCCGGAGCAATGGTGTGTTTCCCTTACAGAGGCAAATGACACCCCAGCCACTTCCAGTAGCTGTCTTTGCTTTCACCTCCAACCGTGCCGAACCTGTGCCTGTGGTTTGGGGTTTGTCTTGGCGTGGCTGGAGCCAAGCTCCCCCGGGCTGCAGGAGCTGTTCCCTGTGTCTGAGGCCAGGCTGCGGGGCCGGCGGGCGGCCAGAGCTGCTCGCTGTGGCACAGGCAGACTGGGAATGTGGGGTGGCATCTGCTGCTGGGACAGGAAGCCATCCCCCATGGGAGAGAGCAGCTGCTGCCACCACCTCCTTGCCGGCTCCTGGCCACTGTGGCTAGCTTGGGGCTCTGCCCTGGCTCTGGCTCAGCTCCCCTATCCTGCTGTCTGCAGGGGCAGCCAGGCTGGGGTTGCTGCCTTTGCCAGCTTTTAAAGCAATACAGTGTCCCTCAGGGCCGGGCAGGAGGGGGTGACAGCATGCTCTGGCCCTGCTGCCAGGGGCTGAAGAAAGTCACTGCTGGCTGAAACTCAGAGGAGCAAGAGCAGCCTGGGGCTTTGGCTGGTGTGTGACTTATACTGTCAGCATACCCACTGTCATTGGTGTGGGGGCTTCCCCAGCAGCTCCCTGTCCCTTTTCCTGCCGCCTATGAGAGACCAACCCTTGGTGCAACGGTGGCCTCCAAGAAGGCTGGCAGCCTCCTGCCACTATCCCTGCAGTTTTTAGGAGGGCTGAGGAAGCACCCGTGCACATCCCTGTGCAACGCAGGCGCTGCTCCTCATAATGCTGGTGGGAAGGACAGCAGCAGCTGCCTGGCCCTGGAGGAGCCAAACAGGTATAAAGACAGGGCTTGGTGCCCAGCCCTTGCTTGCTGCCAGCAGGGGCCTGCCTGGGGAGAGGCAGGGTGCCAGGGCTCCCAAAATTTGAGGCAGCAGCAGCAAGCAAAGCAGGAAGAGCTGATGAAATTTCCTGCGGGGCCTGGGAGGTATTTACTGAAGAAACGTGCTTGGTGGCGTTCGAGTGGGGCCATTACCTTTGGCATCACGCGCTGATGAGGGGCCGCGTGGCTGCGGCTGAGGTCACGGGAGGCAATGACAGAGAGGTTTACCTGAGCCACAGAAGGTGTAAAGGCTCCTGTCAGGGGTAGGCAGAGGTGGTGTAGGGGAACCCGTAGCTGTGGCAGGGGCCTGGGAAACAGGGCAGCTCCCTAACGCCCAAGGGGGACAGGAGCAGCCACCGCCCTCAGCGAGGGCCTGGCTGGTGATGGAGTCATTCATCACATGGGAATTTGATGCTTCTTTCCCACTTAGCACAAAAGTGTGCTGCTTCAGGCTGCCCTCAGCCCCCTCCCCTACAAGCAGAGGCCTGAGAGAGCTCAGGGTTTCTGTTCTGACGGTGCCAGTGGGCTTTATCAGCTGAAAAAGGATCCTGGAAAATACTCTGTGGGGCCCGAGTTTGAGGTGTGCATAAAACCAAGGAAGACTGTGGTACTGATTCTTCACTATGGCAGAGATGGGCAACCTTAACCCACTTGGAGCATGCAGCTCCTCACTAGGACTGCTGCTATCCCCAGCCTGGGATGTGCCAGGCTCTTGCTAAGTATAAGCCAACTCAGGCCAGCCTGCTTTTGTGCCCGATCTCAACTGCAAACAGCTGCTGTAAATCCAGGGCTGATTTTCCTACTATTTTGTAGGGTGAAGTCATCCCTGTCTGGCCACACTTGAAGGTCTAGTCATGAGCCTGCTGTGTCCCAAGGCATGAGTCAAGGGAGGGCACGTGTGCGCAACACTGTGCAAGGTGTGTGCCCCTGCCTGCGGCTCGGACGCCCTCATTGCCCACCGCAGTGTTTGGGGGAGATCCAGGGTTACCTCAGCCTGCAGTGGGGTGTTTCTGAAGCCTGCAAGGAGTGCAATGAAGAGAATTCAGGTCCCTTCCCAGCTCCCTGTCCCCCTGCCTGCGAGGAAATTGGCTGCAGATTTAGGGCTTGTGAAGCCCCTGGTCCGTGCGGCAGCCAGATGTGGTTGGGTGGGTCTGATGGACACCCCTGGCTGCAGAGCACCACTTAGTGGGCTTTCTCCCCTCGAGTCTTGCCCTGACAGAATAAACCCTGATGCCTACAGTTTGTGTGCTTACAGGGATGGACAGGGTCTTGCAGGAGGGACAGCTGTGATTTATGTGCTGTACCAGGATGGCAGTGGGGTGCTGCTCAGCTGGAAGTAAGAGACGGCTCCTCTCACAGCTGCTCTGCTGCTGGTCAGATCCTCTGGTCTCAGCTCGTTGTTTGCTTTTGCTGACCTATTTTCATCTGCTGTGCCCAGCACATGGCTGAAGAAGTTGGGAGCTAGGGCAGCTGCTCTTCCTGAGGATTTTTCTCTCGCTGTAGGGTCATGAGTCACTATCTCTGTCAGAGCATGAAATGGAATTTGCTTAACCCCACGTTGGAGACCAGAAATGGGTAGGTTTGCTTATGGTCTGCTTTGCTGCCAAAAATAAAATAATAAAAGAAGCCGTTTGCCTTCCAAGGCTCAAACCATACCTAGGTGCAGCTCATCCCACTGTGGATCAGCAGCACTGTGGGAAGGGCTCTGTTTGCCTCCTAATAAACAGCTAACACAAACCTCATGTACAGAAGCAGGAGCCACTTCCCTCTGGAGACATGCCTGACCTTTAGTTGCCATCCTGTTTGACCCTGTGAGGGCTGGAGGAGGCTGCAGGGGCAGGTGGGTTGTGATCTGTGGCACCGGGGTCACACAGGCTGAGGTGAGTGCTTGGCATCCACTGCCTGGCCTGGCAGGGCCCATCTGAACTGGCCAGCCATGCCCACAGCCTGGCCCCTGCTGCTTGAGGGTGCACTGGGAAGCACCAGCAGCTTTGGGAACAGCACCTTTTCCTTTAGCCACGTGCACCCCAGCGCTGGAGCAGGGGAAGATGTCTGTCCTGCTGCCCACTGTGGTGTGCCATCGGGGTGAGTGACTCCACAGCCTGATTCCTGGTGTGTGCTTGAGTTTTAAGTCAGGGCAAACCTTTGCCCTTATTTCTCAGCTTAAGAAGTAATCCAGTTCTCACCCCTGTCCCATTCCCTCCACTTACAACCTATGCACAAACTCGCTGAGCCAACTAAACCAGGTGTACTTCACATCTTCACTCTCTCAGCGCAGGTATCTTTACAGGGCTCATATTTATTTTGGATTTATGCACCTGAAATCAAGCATGGTTCATATGCAGCGGGGCAATGTGTATTTATATATCCTCTTTAAGCTGAGTGGATATGGGACTGCTAATCCTTTCTGACAGGAAGGTCATCCTTGAGAGTGGTGCCCTGGGAGGGCAGGCACGTGGAGCTGGGGGAACTGTGCCAGCCGGCGGGGGATGCCCTGAGCCAGGGGCTCCTCCATCTGTGAACAGCTCCTGGTTCCTCGGCCTTGACAGCAGCCCCTTTTCCCTCTGTGCTGCCTTCATCTTCCTTGGCTGCTTCTGGCTCTGATAAGGTCACTGCATCTGAAGCCTGGAGACCATCTCCCTCTCCAGTTTTACTTCCAGTACTGCAGTCGTTCCTCTCTTTGCTGTAACACTGCCTCCAGCAAGGCAAAACCCCCACAGCAGGACCTCTGAGGTCCTGAAAAGTCTCCAGCAGGACCTGGTTGTGACTGATACTGTCCCCTTCATGTCAGGTGAGAGGGGTGACAAAGAGGGACAGCATCCATACTGTCCCTAGCACACCTGAGGTGTATTTGTGGGCTCCTGCTTGTGCAGGAAAGGGAACAGACCTGGCGTGAGGATAAAACCCTTTCCCAGAAAACTCCTCTTTGCAGCAGCTGCACGAGTCCAGCCCTGGTGGTGGTGGCTGTGGAAGTAGGTGGCCTGGTGGGCTTGGAGAGGAGCCCCACAGGTCCCCATGGCAGGCACATGTGCAGGACAGTGTTGTGGGCAGTGCTGCTCATCAGGCAGGGAGTGAGGAGGGTGTAGGCCCTTGTCCTGAAGGAGGTGGAAGCTTTCTGGGATGAGCCACTTGGTGCTCTGGGGGCCCGGAGTGGTGCAGGAGGCTCCCAAAGGGGCCCACCTGGCAGAGGAGGCCAGGGCAAGATTCTGCCTTGCTGGTCTACCAGCCTGCTCCCCTGGGGCCATCATGGCTTACCCATGGGTGGCTACAGATGGGGAGGGGGCAGAGCTCAAGGAGAGACCTTGTTTCATCTGTAGCCATAGGCTGTGGCATCCCCACCCCTGGTACATTCTCTGCCAGTGCTGGGACCCCCACCTCTCCTCAGAGTGACAGAGGGCTGTGGGTGCAGCCAGCGGGTTCACAGTGTGCTGCATGGCCAGAGGCTCTTCTTCCTATAGCTCCAGCAAAAAACAGCAGCACAGTGATCAGGAGCACTTCCTGGCGCCCCTGTGGCAAGTCCCTGATGGCCAGGCCACTGCAGCTGAGTCCTGCCACCCACACCCTGTCCCCACAGGTTTCTGGGGTGTAGTGTAGGGCTGCGATTACCACCAAACATGCTGAAGCTGTAGTATCTATTTAGAATATGCCATATATTTGTTTTTAATGAGATGGTATGGAGCAGTTCATACAAAAAAAAAAAAAAAGAAACATGGGTGCTCCCCACCCGTTGTCCATAAAGCTCTGTAAGAAATGGCCCATGCCCAGTAGCCAGGAATGCCAGGCTCAGAGCAGGGAACACCCAAGGGCAGCTGCAGTGAGCAGGGCAGTGCTGCTCCGAGGGGAAAAGTGCCTGTTTCGTAGCTGCTTCTGCAGTGAAGACAGCAGGTAGCAGGAAACATACCTTCTCTTTTGGTGGGTCATACAAAACCCCTTTCCCAGAGGTAAGTCCACATCTAGACAAGAATCTGGATGCTGTTCTAGCAGTGTTAGGAGGGTTCTCCTTGGCAGAGCTGGCATAGCTGTAGCTAACTAGTCAAGCTGTGCTACCTCCCATTGTCCAGCTGCATGTTAAGTTGGTGCAGTTCAGGTCAGGCGCTGTGTCCTACCCCCAGGGTCACGGCTGAGGACCACCCCCAAGACCAGGAGATGCTGCCTCTCTGCTGGGAACCACTAAGGGCCCTGTTCTGGCAGGGCTGTGCCTGGGCTGCTCCAGACCCGGATGCTCAAAGTCCTGGCGGCTCCCACTGAGGGACAGGCAGACACTGTCCACTGCTCCTCCTGCTCTCCTAAGTCCAGATCTGCCCCTCTGGGCCCTCTGCCCCCTGTACCCCAAGTGGCTCCGTGGGAGTCAGGTGAAATGTTGGCCATGCTGATGACCTCGGCCTTCCCGAGGGCTGGGAGGAGCCGCTCGGGAGGTGCCGTGCCAGGATCTGACCCCGCTGGTTCTCGCACCGGCCTTTTGCTGACAGGTTTTCAAGGAGGGAGCAGCTTCCACCGTGCTCACCGTGATGGACCTTGCGGTGAAGGACACACCAGGGAGTCGCAGCGGGTGTCCCAGAGGGGGTTGCATTCCCATCTCCTCCCCTCCCATCGCTCTGGCCGGCGGCAGCTCCGTCCCCCCGGGTCTGTGCCGTGTAAGGTGCGTGGCAGGCGGGGTCACCGCAGGAGCAGCACAAGCGGCAGGAGCAGCAGCGTCGGTGAGACGGAGATCTCAGCAGCGCCACCACAGTCTTGGGCGTTTTCCTGGGAGATGGGAGAGAAGGGGTCAGCCTGCTCACTGCCAGGGTGGCTGCCGGTGGAGGGAAAGGATCCCACCCGTCACCTTTGGAAAGGGGAGCAATGCCTGTGGCCAAAAGGAAAGAGGCAAAGGAAGGGACTGGTTTGAGCAGCCGCCTGCAAGCTTGCACTTGCCTCCTCGGCTCCTAGCGGTGGGGGAGCTTGCTCCTGACCCTCTGGTGTCTGAGCTCAAGCCCTTCCCAGGTGGTATTAATGCGTGAGGGTCCTCCTGCTAGGAAGCCCCTCGGGGATTCACATGGCTGTGTCCGGGTCCAGCCAGCAGGATGGGCACGTGATACACCCGATGCGAGGGTGCAGGAGGAGACATTTGTGCATGGGTAACAGGCATGCCCACGGTGAAATTCAGCTGTGTGCCCTCCCTCCCTCTCTCCCACGCTACCCCGGGGTACCTCAGGGTGGAATGCATGGCAGGTGTCCGGCCGCCGTCGCAGCTTCTGGGACCGCATCCGTTCACACTTCACTGAAGCGTTATGTGCGAGGCTGTTAAGGACAATGGCAGCAGCAGGCAGGGAAAAAGGGGATGAACACAGCACAGAGACACAGGGCTCGGATGCAAGTTTGTACAGGTGTAACTGCACGACCTGAGAGACAGAGAGGGAGGTCAAGGGAAGGGCAGGTCACCCTGCATAGGCTGGAGATTTTTCCAAGCTGTCCCACAAGTCGGGTTGTACCCTCTACCCCCACAGCAATTGCACCAGAAGCACATTTTCCACCCTAGCAAATATGAAGATGAAGGGGCCTGTGGAGCTGTGCATCCCTGCTGGGTGTGGAAGGATATATTTGACCTCTTTTGGGTCCATTGGGACAGGTGGGAAGATGCTGCAATCACAGACGGCATCCGTGACGAGGAGCAGGAGGTTACTGCTGACGATCTGCTGTGCCACAAACATCCTGCAAGAGAAGAACAGATAAAGAAAGCACATCCTTCCAGCTACAACACCAGAGCTGCATTGCCTGAATCACAGCAAAGAAAACAGAGATCATCAGAAAAAGGATGTCAGTCATGGAAGGCAGGAGAGACCCAGGGAGCAGATGTACACGGGGGGGAAGTGGCGCTGGCACACCCTTTTGGCTTCAGAAAACTCTGAACTGGCTCACATTTACAACTCCGTGCTAGGCACAAAAGCCAAAATCGAACCCAAAACCCAACCAACCAACCAAACCCAACACAAGATGGGGCAGCACATCACAGCAGATGACATTGAGAAAGCCTGTTTTCGTCTGGAGGTACGTCAGTGCCCATTTAACATACATTTATGTGTATGCTCATACTATGCAAGGATGTCTGTTATTATGTGGTCCTGCGAGGAACAGTGCTTTGCTAAATTTCATGTCAGTGGAGAGAGACATAGAGGATCCCAGCAGCACCCTACGTTACATGGGTGTGATGAGATCGACCGACCGATGCTCGAAAATCTCACGGCTTCGCTTTGCGGCCACAGTTTCGCCTGCCCCTTCCCCTCCCTGTCGGACAAGCAGGCTGTGGCTTGCGGTGACGAGCACAGGCACGTGCCTGTGGTGATGTCTCTGGATGGAAGCGTTTGCCCGAGGACGTGCACGTGAGGGCTGAGCGGGCAGGCAGTGCAGGCATTGAGTGGGCAGGGCAGGACGAGGGCAGGACATGTTTTGGCTGAGTGCAGGGTTTTCTGCATGAGTGCTGTGCACGTGGGGGTGTGTGGGCAGCTCGGATCTGCCTCTGTGCTCACGAGGCTGCATGTGCCTGTGACTGAGGGTCTGTGCACCGGCACGTGCACATCAGTCACAGGGGGTGCGTGTCCAAGCATACAGATGCCACCGCAAGGTGCTGTACATGTCTGGGCACCTCGGCAACCTGCCCAATGCCTTGCAGCCATCATGTATCATTCACCAGCACGGAGGCTGCAGCCACCCAAAGCAAGGCTGAGCTGCCCACGCTGCCATCCCCCTCTGCCTGCTGGCAGGGAGCTGGCAAGCTGTCCTGGAGCTGCTGGGCACAGGGAAGGCTGGGGATGTCGGGCTCAGTGTGCCTGCACTGGTGGCAGGGCTACAGTGGCTCTGTACACTCCCAGTCCTGCTGAACACCGCTCGGCCAAGGGAGAGGGCTTCTGGATTACAAATACAGGTTTGTGAGGATGTGCCCACTCCACTGTCCAACCTGGCTGCACTGGAGGAGCACCCTGTCTCCCTGGTTTGCTTGTCTGGTACCTTGTCTTGCTGCCCTCTAGCCTCTGGGGATCTCTGTGTTCCCTTTCAGAGGTGTTGAAGGTTGCACACTGCAGCTGACCATTTCATTAGTGGCTTTTTCACTAATGACTGCTTTGGGAGCTTTGACAAGCAGGCTTTAACAAATTCAGTAACCAGGACAGAGATGCTCCATGCACTAATCTGCAAGCCAACTTCTTCCCCAGTACAGAACACCCAGCCTACCATCACTCCACAAGGAACTACCTGGGCTTGTGGAACGGGATCAGGAAGGCCTGCATGCCTGAGCTAATGCTTCACAGAGCCTGTGACAGGGTGTGTGTCTCTCCCAAACACCTGCACGAAAGATGCACAAGAGATGCACCTGGGATCCAAGGGCTGTAACCACACCTGTAATTACAAAGGAGCTGAGCAGGATGCTGTGAAGGACAGGATGCAGCACCTGCTGCTGTGACGCTGGTGAGGTGCTACCTCCAGCAAGGAGGGGTCAGTCCCAGGCTGTGTTGGTGCAGAGATCTGTGCAGCAAGACCTTAACAGGCCAATTTAGGGCAGTCAGCTCCTCTGGATCTGCCCAGAGCTTAATGCCCCTACACAATACCTTGTTGTCACCAAATCTGCAATCTCTTCTGAAACAATGTTTGGCAAAGCCTGGTTTTCCTACAGTCATGCTGACTAGCACAGGCTGTTTTCCTAACCTTTAAGTCTTTCCTGCAGTTGATCCAAGACTGAAGTCAGACCAGGTAGGATTTTTAGTTTTTTTTAATGGGAATTCCAGTCAGATCTGTTTGGATGCCTCATGTTAGGAAAAGCTGGACCAGTGGAAATTCATCTTTCTGCCACCTTTCCACACGTGATTGCTGATGGCACTATGGAGCCACTGAAAACAGCCTTTTTCCACAAAGACTTTTCTATCTAACTTTGTACTCTTCCTTCTCTTAAAGTGAAAATGGAAAATAAAACAGTGGACCCTTATTTTCATTTCTTTCAGTTTCACGCTTCCTTTTTTTCCCCATCCCTGCTTTTTTTTGTTTGTTTGTTTCTGTAGAAAAACAGAAAAAGGGTAAAAGGAAAAAAAAAAAAGGAAAAGGAAAGCCGAAAGCATTGCAAAAAGGAAAATTTTCTAAGAAAATCTTTGCCAGAAGCATGAGAAAACAGAAAAAATTCCTTTCTGAAACCTGTGGAATGGAAAGATATATATATATATTTGAATGCTCTTTTCTTCGTTCTACAGCTACCTCTGCTTATTAACAGATGGTTTTAAATTTTTGTCTCTTTTATCAAGAACAAATAACCTGGTCTCTTCATCTCCTCCCTGTCCAGCACAGCTGTTTAGCTCTGCTCTGCAGCCACAGCTGGAGATACCGTGGTGGCCGCGCCATGGGCAAAGCAGCAGGTGACTCTTCTCAGGTTGCTGTCATCACCAAGGGGCCCTTTGACAAGGCTTGTGTGCCATCCCCCTGGGGGACCCCCCCAAATGAAAGGGAAGCTGCAGTTCTTACTTTTGGCAGTCTCCACACTCAATCAGCCCGTTGGTCTCCTTGATGGCCGGCTCGTACACGAAAACGGGGTACTCGGTGTCACAGGGCTGCAACATATCGTGTTTCTTGTGCTTGTGAGCTGCGAGGGCAAGGAGACAAGGTGAGATGGGTGAAGGGCAGAGCATCACACAGGAGCTGCCTGCACTGAGATGGAAGCATTTAAAACTGGTGACACAGGTTGGAGGAGCAGCCCTGCATGCCTGCTACCCCCTCAAGAGTGGCAAAGGGCAGGTGCCTACCAGAGAATAATGGGAAGGAGGTGCTGCACAAAGCAGCCAGGCAGTGATCCCTGCTCCCACTAGGTGGTGTGGGAAAACCAGTCTATGTGAGAAATGCGCACAGTATTGCCACTTGCCTTCCCCCAGCAAGCCCAGACCCTGCTATGCCCAAGCCACAGCTGTGGGACCGCAGTGGCCACAGCACCCCAGGGACTCCCTGCCCGGTAGGAAGGGTCATTTGAGCACTGGTACCCTTCTGTTCAAAGGAGCAGTGGGGTCTGACTGAACCAGCAGCATTAATGAAGTCCCTCCTGCCTAACCCAGCCCTGGTTCACTTTTTTAAACATTGAAACCTGTGACTGGGCTGGTCTCAGTGCCTGTGCCAAGGGATCTGCCCCTGCGGGAACCCTGTGTGTCCACGGTGGGATTCATCAACTGCTGATCCCTCCTGAGCCCTCTGATGCTTCTGAGCGAGCCCACAGCAGGAAATTTGAGGGGTTGAATATTTGTCACACTAAGAAACCATGGCCAGCAAACAGATCTGACCTGAGACCACAGGAAAGCAGATGATGGCTCTCAAGGACCAGCAGAGACCCAGCTCAGACACAGCAGCGGCTCCTGGAGGGAGCCATCCACCGCAGAGGCAGGGAGCAGCTGCTCCATCACTCATCAGTCACACTCTGTGGGACTTCCAAACTAATTTGGGGATGAGGGGGAGCTGGACTGCCTTATTAAGCCTCCCTCGAGAAGCAAGAGCGTTCTTTCTAGGAGTTCAGCAAAATCTGTCTTGCCTGAAACTGCCGCCTTGGGCCCTTCTGGCAATTATTTTCTGCAGTTGGAGGTAGCAAAGCCAGCTCCTGCCTCTGCAGGACACAGGGGAATGCTGCCGATGGAAACGCCGAGCTTTGTTGCTAGGGCAGAGGTGGCTGCAGCTCAGCCAACAGCACGTATGAGAAATGGTTTCTACATCAGCTTCGGGTCTGAGCACAAAGCCTCACTTCGCAGCCCCCCTCGCACACAACAGCCACAGGCAGCCCTGCCGGGGGGGTGGGGACCAGCAGGGAAGAGGGTCCTTCGGATGGGGAGGGCGCCCACTTTACCCCGTGCAGCAGAAGCGCCGGAGATTTATAGAAAAATGCAGCATCACGGGTTTTAATCAGCAAATGTATGTTAAGAAGGCACCAAGAGGGCACCATGATTCCGATGGGTAATTTGCATCACTGTAGAACCCTCGCTGAGAGCAATGGTCTCCTTTCCCCCCCCCCACCCGATGCTGCCAGAGCACGCAGACAGCAGCAGGCACCACCCGGTGGAGCTTGCCGTCTAAACAATGTGGATTAAATGAGAGGGAGAAAAAATGGATGATTTTCTCTGATTTTTCTCTCAGGAACTCCAGCCCAATTTCCCCTCTAATGCCCTTCCCGGGTGAATATAATGGGTACTCAAGCCCTTCCCTGCAGTACAGAGTCCTTGGTAGGTTTTTTTGTGCTTTTCTTCTGAACTCTCGAAAAACAGTGCTCATGAGGCAGCCCCTTAAAATCCTCCCAGACTGTGGGACCCACCTGTCGGTCTCATGGTTAGGTTAATTTTGCACAGATCCAAAAGCACAGAGAGCACGATTTCAGCATGGTGCCTTGTTTTGTATTCACCTTGGATTTACATTGAATTAATCAACTAAACTCCTCATTTCAGGGGCTGGCAGCACCTCTGCCATCAGCCAGGAGCTGCCTGGCTGTGCTCTGCCACCATTTGCTGTCCCTCTGTGAGAACCCCACACCGCAGAAGCACAGAAAAGCCCCTCCCGTTTTTTGCTAATGGAGAATGCCTCTGTTACAAGGAAAAAGTAGTCCTGAGGAGATTTGGGATGAGCAGAAGAAGACCCTGTTCCTGAGGTGAATTTCAAAGGCTTAGACATTTCTGATGGAACATGCAAAATATCAGTGTTTGTGTTGTAAGGAGAGAAGCTGCAAATGCTTTCTAGCTCAGACCACCTCCAGGACTGGTAACTATTCTGGCCAGTAAAGTCCCTAAAATAAGACCAAAGGAGTGTGAGGAACAGAGTGGGAACCCTTTCAGCCCTAATTCACTGTAATTGAGGCCAGGAAAGCAGCTCCAAACCCTGGAACAGGTGGCCAGGCTAGTCTGGACTGGGAACAGACCTTCTCAAGGACATGCTTGTGGCAAGGCCACACACTGGTCTTTCAGCCACAAACCATCGAAGTCCTGTTGTGTTACCCCGGATTTGCAGCACTGTCACTGCAGCCCAGCTGTTGGCAATGGACTGTGCCATTCTTGCTCAGAAGAGTTGCTGTGATGACCGCAAAGGTGACCTGATAAAGTTGGGGCAAACTGCTAGCAGGAATTTAGAGTATTGCTCATGTCAGGAGTGGCAAAGGCTCCTGACATAACAGGGATTTCATCCAGGACCTCAGTTTTCCCCTGTCCCTGGTAAAGAATGACATCCTTCTCTAGCTCCAGCTTCCTGTTATAATATCATCAAAGCAGATGGAGCTACAGTAATATAAAATACAGTGGTGTGAAGGACGGGGTGGAGGGAGGGGGTGAAAGAGACTGTCGTCTTGGAAAATACAGAATGGAAGTCAATCTCAGGCCTCCCAGCCTCAACCAGCGATGAATGAGGGCTGTCATGCTGGTCTTGGTGAGCTTGGAGAGCAGCCTTGGGCCTCAATGGGAATTAAAGAGACTGCATGTCCATACCTGGACAGCACTGTTTGCTGGCCTGACCTGCACACATGGGCAAGAGCTCTGGACACAGGACTAGAGAGCCAACACTTGGTCATTAATTTGGGGTTGAACTACGCCGTGGTGGCACCCACAGGAGCAGCGTGTGCAGTGGGAAGTGCACCAGGTTTGGTTCCTTCAGAGGCACTTTTGCCACTGGCATTATGGGCTGTGTCAGTCTCAGAAGGGGCATTTCTGGTTGAGTCTTTCATGACCCTTTGCAATTCGAGCTGCTCTGGGTTAACTTCATCGTGTGCACCAAGCTGTATTTTTAAACTCTGCTAAATATTGAGAAGTGCCCGGCACAGACAATCTTTACTCAGATTTTTTTGGCACAAGCTGAATGAAAAGAAGCCACTTTAAAATCTCCTAACTTCTGCACAGAGACAAGACCCATGACAGAGATTATACTTAAGCCTACTGCCACTTAATTCTCTTGGAAGCAATGCAGTTGCAGCAGTACTGAGAAGTTCAGAGAAGCCCAGTAGCATGTACATCATCAGCAAAACGCTTGGGCTGAGCCTCTCAATGCACATGCTGGACATCAAAATGCTATCAGCCCCCTGAGAGTCTGGTGGTCAGGGATTAGTAAACAGCCAGCGGAGCTGATAACATATTGCAAACTTTATAGCAAAGAGCGAGTTAATTCCAGGCTGTTGTTGCTACCATCTGCACTTCCAGAAAGCCTTTGTCAGACATTTGGCAACCAATCCTTCTGAGCAGCAAAGGCAGCTGCCGTGCCTTGTTATGAACTATAGAGCCCAGATTGTGAACTCTTTCCCACCAGCATAAATCACGCGCCCGAGAGTCAGTGGATTTACTCTGGGACACGAGACAAAATCTGCCACTTAGTTACCAATATAAAACACAGAATTTGATCAATTATCTTGTAAAATATCCTCTGTGTACATTACCATGCAGTAAAAAAAGGAAAGTTTTATGTTTACAGAATTCTAGAAATAGTCCTTTCTAGGCTGCATGCCTTGGCTGGAAGTATTTTTGGCCTAATTAAAAGCTTTCAAACCTGGTGATGTTCATAAAAGCAGAAGCCCTTACAAACGCAGAAAGAAATTAAGATGCTGAGAGCAGTGAAAAATCTATGGCAGCAAACATGTCTTCTCACCCCCTCTGAAAAGCAGATTTGTATGATGAGTGCAGTCTGAATATATCATGCCCATTTTCCGACAGCAAGTCTCACCTTCCCAGGAAACAAGAGAACTTGGGAAGCAGAAATAGGCTCAGTGCTGCAGAGCCAGAGGTACCCAGTCAGGCAAGGGTGAGCATTAGAACCCTGATCATTAATTCCCCTGCACATAACCCGGAAAAAATGTGTGCTCAATTTCTCTCTCACAAAATGTCTCCTTCGCTTCATATTTTTTGCATACACCAGCCTTGGCATGCAGTCAAGAAAATGTTAACAACTCTGGCAAAAATCTACAGCCCCTTCTTAACAACATGTGCAATCCATTTCTTCCAGCCCCAATAGTATTCTTCCACCCTGCTACTCCCACACACACATGGACACTCATTTTTTTATCTGTAGACACCCTCTCCTCTTCCTCTTCTTCATACAGTAAAATGCATTCCAACTGTCTCTATTTCTCTATCTCTGTCTCACACATACGTCTTGCTGGGCAGAGAGCAAATCAGCAAATACAAGCTAGATATGGAATCAGGGAGATACAAACACAGCCACAGTCTGGACTCCGTCTTGGAGGAATTTCTAACTCGCCTGTAGGAGCGGATTTATGAGCTAGAGCATATACTTATCAGCTGAACTGCTTGAAAGTAGTTTTGCATTATCCTGGAGCTGGGCTGGGATTTATCAGAAGGACCTAAGCCATGGGGTGTGGAAAAGAAGACTTAAGTTGCTTCTTAATAACTGATGTCTACGAGATTCGTATAGTTTTTCCTGCAAGAAGGCGTGGGTTGGTCTTTGGTTTTGGGATAAAAACTGAAACAGGATGGGCCTGCTGGGAACCAAGGTGAAGGACATGCCATAGTACACAGGCTATGGGCCCAGCTATGCTGTAGTAATGAGTGATGATGTTGCCTGTGATTGTAGTCCCTGAGGAGGCTTGTGTGTTCCTTCTTTTATCAACTTCTCAGTGACAGACCTTCAATCACCAGCTCAGCCAGCTAAACGAGCAACAGCTTCTCTTGCTTCTTTGCAGAGCAGGGAAATAGAGCCAGGCACTGCCTTGTCCCTGTCACACCTTTCTGCAAGTTCCCCACTGTCCAAAAGGTGGAAAAAAATTTTTCCTAGCCTGGAATTTCTAGTTAATTCTCTTTTTTTTCGCTGTTAAGTGGTTCTACTTACAATGATGGAAGACAGCCTTGGCTGGAGAAGCGCCGTGACACGCAGACACACAGTGACGATGGAGCCACGTGACAGTTTCACATGATGGCAGCACAATGAACACATGGATTCACACACAGCAGTCATGGAGGTGATGTGGGAAAGAGATGAAGAAAGCACAAAAGGAAATGGTGATGAGCAGGGCAGCAGTGAGAACCCCCTCCCTTTTTCCTCACATCTCCTCGAGCAAAGACTAAATCCAACGGCAGCCACCGAGCAGCCACAGCAGCTCAGTGCAGGAACACCAGGTCAGTCTGTCCTCCAGAAGGAGCAGTCTCTCCTGCCCTGGCACGAGCACTGCACTTGCTCATCTGACTCCTCCTCACTGATTTTGGCATGGGGCCCCTCCTGTTATCCTGATGGCAGCAGCCAGGGCCACTTAGAGGATAGCTGCAGCTTCTACTGCCATCTCTTTGGAGAAAGAGAGTGGGACCTAAACAGTACCCGGACATAGGCCTTGTCTTCTGAGCAGAAGGGAAATTTGCTTTCTAAAAATGACTGTTTCCCCATTACACCAGGAGAGTTCAGTGCAGAAGACTCAGCTCCACAGTTAGCATGGAAGGTACCGCTGTCTCACTAAAATAGTGATCAATAATTCATGAGAATGCAACAACAGCCCTTACAGGGCTGCACAGAGCAACCTCACCTTTTCCTTGGAGTTTCCTCAGTGCCATCAACATCACCCCCTGCCTGCAGGGCTAGGGATGGGACCACGGAGATTCCCAGGATGTTTCTAGCAGGCAGCACTACAGCTGCAGGACAGATCACTGGATTTCAAACCAGACATACCCCTCTGCTGCACTCAGCTGCTGTGCAATACCATGTGCCATCATCTTCTCTCTTCCAGAGCAGGTCCAGTGGGTAAGTGAAGACCCTCAATGTGTTATTGAACTGTAAGGTTTCTGTCTAGCTTCCTGAAACCCCTGTTAGGCTCTGGAGAACCTCCTGCTCCAGCCCTGCTCTGTCCTGTCCTGTTGGAGACCGGAAGGGAGTCTTTCCAACTGAAGTGCTTTGCAGTGGATGGCCTCTCTCATCCCACTGCACTCAGGGTAGGAGTCCTCAGAGAGAAGCACCTCCCACCTCCTCAGCAAGTAATCCTGAGGAAAGCAAGCTCTGAGCAGCACACACCTCACTCTGACCGCTCTGGTGCTGTGGCAGCCTGAAATGGGGGTGGAAATGGGGGGAGATGTGGTGGTGGTAGGATCTGGAAGCTGGATTACAGTGTCCATGGAAGAAGAGGTGTGGGGCACATGGCAGGCTCCTTGCACAAGGCCAGGCTTCCCCATACAGTTTCTTCTGTCACCCGTGGCTGTAACACTCACGTGCTGTGGGGTGGCTGGACTCTTGTGTACTCACCATCTGCCAAGTTGTTTGAGTGCCAGAAGCTACTCATGTTAAACTCCAAAAGGAAGCTGTCAAAAGAGCAAGAACAGAGGATGCTTTTTCAGCAGCCTGGAAGGATGCAGGTGTCAGGGAGATGGCCCTGTCGCCCGGCAAGTATCAGTTCTAAAATGTTTACTGCAAATTTGCTGGCAGTGGAAGTCTGATTTTTTTTTTCATTTTTTTTCCTCTCCATATGATAGAGTGTAACTCTGTATCGTGGGATCTGTACCGTGGAAGATGGGAATGGGCTTTTTCCCGAGGTATATACAGTGTGAGGGGCTCGCCAGTGAAGGAAGGAATGAGTACAGCAACCCCTGAGGCTGGGAGGGAATTCAGTCCCTGTGGGCCCCACCTGAGGAGCAGGCATGGATGGCCATCAGAAGGCTATACTCTGTCTACTTGAAGGTAACTACATGCCACTTTGAATTATTCTGCACCAATAGGCAGAGCTGTATCTTTTCCTTCCCTTTTGCACACCCAGCAAGCTGAGCAGTAGCACTTTCATCCTAATTTGAGCTTGAACTCTGATTCACCCCAGAAGTTTGAGGGGAACCCAAATCTAGGGGACAGCCTTCCCTCTCTTCTCCCTGGCCTGTCACTCAGAGCTGAGCTCCCTGGCTTGCTTCCTTCAGCCTTCTCCCCCCATGAAAGGAAGGTGTGCATTTGCTCAGCACGGGCAAAGGAGACAGGCAAGAGGACTCGGCATCAAGGATCTGCACAGGGCCCCAGGAGACCCAAGTCCTATTTCTGACTCAGGCACTTTGTACTGAGTGACTTCAGGTAAATCCCAGACCCACTTTGGGCCTCTGCCTCTCAAAATGGGAATAGTAATAGCTTTCTGTCTCCCAGGAGCAAGGCTGAGCTGAATGTCAGGAGAAGGCTGACAGCAATGCCCTATGCAGGGGCCTCCTCTTGCAGCTTTCTCAGCTCTTGACCCCGTTGCTCTGAGCCTCCCAAACACCCGCATCTTTTGGTACTCACATGAGGAAATCACTTATCAGCCATTTCACTGCAGCTAGAAAGGCATAAATTGGCTGGAGAACAAAAGAAGAAATGAGAAATACCATAAGGACCTGGTCAGAGAATTTATAATTGTTATGCAGGACCCCACATTTCAGACCAATTCCCTCCACTGACCAGAGCTCTTGAAGACAGGCTGGAAATTCAAGGTCTGGGCATCACTGGAAAATGTTCAAAATGTTTTGATGTAAAAAGCCAGCAGAGCTGCCTTGCTACTAATAATATCTTCTCACCCCCTCCCCATCAGGGTCAGGGAGTTTATCATAAATGTATGAAGGACTTTGAAGATGTAATTGCTTGATGATTTCTCTCCAGTATGGATGACCTTCAGAGCTCAGAGCAGGAGAGAAACATAGCTAAATGGGACACCACCAGTTTAGGATGCTTTATGTTCTGATAGCAAGTGGTGTTTCTGGGACAAGCCCAGGATTTAGTATTATCTTCCATTGATTGATTATGCTTAACTGTGCTTTCATCCAGCTTTTCCTCAAGATGGCATGACTTCTATCATCTTCCTGCTTTTCAGCTACAAATTGGAAATCCAGCATTATCCCAGGGACAATTCATCTGCAGAGGATCCTGCTGCTTCTTTTCTTCATGGTAACCATGTCTAATTTTCATCTGTCTCTCTCATAATCATGCCCGTGTCCTCAAACCCAAAACAGATGCAGTAGTCACAGGACACAAGATAATGTTCCATTATGCTAACTGACTTATCTTCAGCCAAAATAAGTCAGCAAATAGTAAAATGTAGAGATTATTGGGAATTCGACCGATTCTTATGTGTGAATATAAAAAACAGACTTTTCTTGATTTTTTCCTTTTCAAGGGTTTTGCTAAGAGGGGGAGATGAGAGATGAAGGCTGAATGCTCACCTTTGTATTCTCTTCCCAGTTCACTTTGGTTTTGACAGCTCATATTTTGTGACAGTAATCAAAATTGGAGGATACGATCAAGCAAATATTTTCACTACAATCACAATATTTTATCTAGCTTAAGTATAGCCACTCCAAAACAGACTTACTGTTAAAAATGTAACATGTTGTTAAAAGTGTTAAAATCCCTGTTTAGGGTTGTGCCAACTAGTTTAAAGTGGCCTAAGGGTTGAGTAATTACTTTGTTCTGCCTGTTTGAGGCCACGTTAGGAAGGTAGAGTGGGATTAGATTCTTGGTTTGTATCAGCCTAAAGAGAGGTTGCATTTGGGTACTGGTAAAACTCTTCCCTCTGTTGGTTTGTTCCCTGGGCTATCACCACTCTGTCTATTGCTCCAACTCCACTCATACTTCCCCAAATGACTGTCCGTTTTCTCCCAGATGTTCCCTGACAGAGCAACCCTCCTTTATGAGCTGCTGAGTAAAACCATGCCCTGTAAAAGGATTCCTGTTCATTTCAGCTGCTAGCTGATTCCTTGGCTTTTAGGGGAAGCCTGCCATAGTTTAGTTCATGTCCTCTCCCTGAACCTTCCAATTTTCAGTGAGATCCTATATGCCAATAGAAATCCACATTGGAAACCACAGCCAGAGGCCACCGCTGCCTCAGAGACCTGCCTTAGATGAGTTTGGACATTCCCACCGCTTGAAAGCAAACCTCTACTACAGTCTTTTTTGTGGAATGTGCTGCCCCAAGGTGCTGGAGATGCCCTAGGAGAAAGCACAGCCCAGGGAGGGCTGCATGCTGCCAGATACGTACGCTGAGCAGGGGCCGGGCGCCGCTGTGGTGGTGGTAGGGTACTTTGCACATTGCCTGGTAATCATACATGGTCACCCTGCAATCAAAACAAAACAAGCCAGCAGTCAAAAGCAAGCAATGCAACTGGCCTAGGGGACAGACAAGTCAGCCTTCTCTAAAAAATTTCATGTATGAAATATTTCCTGTATGAACTAAAACAGCGACCTGCTTACACGTGTCTTTGCTGTTTGGCCAGTGCTGGATCTGGCAGAGCAAGAAATACAGGCTCTGGATTAATGCAACTGGGTCAGAAGGAAATATGTCCCTAATTTCAGAGAGTGAGTAAAGCAGGCTGTGAAGCAGAGGAATTATGATTGTAACTACCTCAGGGCCCCTGATGCCTTAAGCCCCTAATGTTTTTTTTTTTTATTTTTCTAATATTTGTAAGACTGGTAAGAATTGTAGGTTTTAAAAAGCAGAAACCCCTCTGTCCCCTTGTTCCTTTCCCTTGTTTACACATTCCCTAACCCTTTTACCCCATTCTATGCCTTCTATATCAACCTACCCCTGAATTCAGTAGCGGTGTTTAGTCTTTTGTCAAGGCAAAGGCCTAGACTGTTTGGAGAACAGCGTATCAGGGCCTAAACCACAGAGTACGGTCAAGAATTAGGTAATCATGTACCCTTTGTGCTGTGATGAAGCTGAAGATGATGAAGGGGGGGTCCCAAAAAGACCCCAGACCCAATTCTCAGGGGGAGGGCCCGGGGCGGACCAGAGGAAGGGCCAAAGGGTGGACACATCTGGGATTGGATGGATAACGTTATAAAATGTAACCTCTCGGGCACAGGGCGCCCGCGTGTCTATATCACCTATTGCCTTGGCAAATAAACCCTTTCTTATCTCACCCCTAATTAACTGCTCCGGAGATTTTTTTCAGAACCAAAATACACCGGCAACACCCCCTAGTTCCTGTTTTCACTGAAACTCTGAACTCTCTTTCGACATCAGCTGGGGGAGTGGACTGAGATGAACAGAAGTATTTTTAAGAGAAAGAGAAATGTGGTCAGCCAGTTGCAATGCTGCATCCTGGGGGGCTCTCAGACAACTATTCCGTAGAAGGGCTTTTCCCAGTGGCAGGAGGAACTGAAGCACTTTTGTACCCAAAATGACAAGAAATGTTTCCCAGACAGAGAAGCAGCTATTTTCTGGCCACATAAAGATTGGAAGTTACTGTGTCTTTCTGTGTTTTGCAGCAGGTGGAAGAGCAGGAGATGAGGAGAAACAGCCTGTGTGGTGATGATCCTTGAGCGAGTCGGGGGAGGGGGCAGGTAGCTAAAGGAGCTCTTGTTTCTAAATAAGAGAGTCACATGCATCATCAGCATGTACATTTTCCCCTGCTCAAGTGCCTCTCAGAGGAACCAATATGCTCTGACCCACACACCAGCGAAGAACGAGAAGTACAGCGTGGAGATCCCCCACTTACCGCCTGAACATGCCCATGTTTAGCAGCTGGGTCATTACTGAGCCATCCACTGCACCAAAAAATTTTCCAGTCTGCAAGTACAAAAAAGGAAAAAACAGGATAAACTGACAACAGTAAATTTTCCAAATGCTCGAAGGCTCCAGCTGATCTTGTCTGCTTGGAAGCCTGCTATGTACGACGAGTGTTTTATAAGGAGGTAACGCTGAGCCTTGTCCTTTGGCTGCCTGGAAAGCTTGAGGGAGGACTTCCCCCATCGCCAGCTGGGCATCCTGCACCATTCCTACCACGCTTGGAAATGATTTAGCCCACATAAGTCCCTGCAGCTTGTGACAGAAAAAGGCAGGCTCTCAAGCTGCAGAGACCCAGGCATGTTGAGTCACCGGAGGCCTGGGCTCTCCTGTGGGTTTTTGGGAACCCATGTTCTCTGGATCTGAATGCCTGACTCTTCCATTTGAGCCTCTCTGCTAGCCCATGACCACAGTGGCTTTGGAAACTCTGCTCTCCTGCTGCCCTGGGTGAACTGCCCCACCACGTGTAAGTGCGATGTACAGATTTATTTAGGCAGCAAACGTAATTTTACAACGCACTGCAGTGCAAGATCTGAGCCTGAAGTAACCCAAACAACACAACATGAACCCATCCATCCCTTTAGCTTACACAGCCAGAGCTGTTGCACGGGCTCCACCCCAGCAAAAGTTGCATCTGGGGCAACAACCCCCCAGTCCCACTTGCATGCCTGGACTAAAAGAGAAGCTTGTGGTCCCATTTATGTCTTGGAGTCAATAACCTCAAATATGGACGCAATCCCAAATCTGGGAACTGCTGCTCTAAAGACTTCTTCAAAAACACAACAATTCTACCTTTCCTGACTACTAAACCATGACAAATCTATTGCAAAAATGCTTCAAATCTGTCGAGTCCACCACTTTGTTTGTAGGCAAGTAAATAAAATATTCATCAGATATGAGCCGTCCTCTGTCTATTTTCCTGGCTCATGGATCCTGACAAGGTAAATAGCTCCCACGTGTTATGGAAGCATTCACACAGTCTGGGGGGACGTTTTGCTTTTCCACTGATAGGCTAGCAGTCATTTAGCATGTATTAGCAGATGACAGATGACTTCATTTATTTGAGTGGGACATTTTGACTGGAAAAACCTGAACCCTTAGGCAGATTTACCTAAGATCACATGGTAATCATCTAAAAGTAGTGTTACATGGTTATGAGCTTCTTCCCAACAGGCTTTAGAAGTCATTTCGCTGTATAAAGCGATACATAACATCAACTCCTCTTTGAGCATTTAGGCTGTAATTGTCTCAGACATAGTAAAATGTGCCTGAGCAAGCACTAACTTTTTCACTGTCCCTGCTCTTTCAATCTGATTAGGATGATGAAGAGGCCAGCTGCTTCCATTTAATACCAGTCTGCAGACCCAGCAGGCGCTGGATTTAACACAGTGCAAGCTGCGGACAGTGTGGCAAGGGGAGGGGAGGGGGCCACTGCAAGACTGCAAATGGGTCCTGTCCTGTCAAGAGATGCTGATGTCTGACCAAATTTCTCCAGCTAGGATGTCATTCCTACAGGTAAAAGAATGAGGAGCTACCAGAATAAATGAGAGTATAGCCTAGGCAGTGTGTTCAGAAAAGCATCTGCAAACTGGCCTTTAACATCAAACCAGACATTCAAACCTTGGTATTGTTTTAGGTACCCTGTGCAGGAAGTAACACAGAAAAGCATCACTTGGCAGAGACCAAAGCAGTCCTGTACCAGAGCAACATTTTGCAAAGCAGCTCTCGTTACAACTTGCTTCCTCCAGTGACTGCTGCTCTCCTAGGCATCCCTCTGCTGTGCTTCTCCTGACTCCCATCTCTGGGCAGGTTTCCACAGGCCCTTGCAATTTCAGAGGTTCACAGCACAAAGCGTCGCTCTGACATCCGGCATGACCCACACTGTATCTCATCCCCCTGCACCCATGTGACACATGCTGTATCACATCCTCCTGCAGCTGAGTGTACAAGCACACATACAGGCTATGCACAGGAAAGAGATGCAACCCAGAGCACACATATGGCTCAAAAGCTACATCACTGCTCACAGACAATGCACATCCACCCTTTGCTGGCTCGTTGAGCAATTTACACTTTTTGTACATTCAAAAACTGTAAACAAACAGGGTCTGCCCAATAAGCCAGGCTTTGGGAAAGCAGGCAGCCTCCTTGTTGCATGGCTCAAATGGCCCTTGCTTTTCCACAAGCTCTGCCCAGCCCTGGTGGGACCTTGGCCTTTCAGCTGCCCCCCTGCACCCTGGGCAGAGCTTGCACACACACTGTGCAAAATGCCTCAGGGAGAAGGCAGGACCTAGAAAAAGAGGTTTAGTGAGTGAGGGAACATCTGGATGCAGCAGGCGGAGGGAGCTCAAGACCTGTGATCCACAGCTGTGCCTACGACTGGCAACGGAAGGCGGCTGAAAACTCAGGGGTGGTCGTGGGGCCACGGCTGCAAACATTGGCTGAAACACAGCACTGAGAGTCCTCCCTGCAGCACAGCCTGAGCCTGCCACCCACTTTCCCTCCCTCCCCTGCTCTAGATCACCTGGTCTTCTCCCTCACTTGCTCCCTTCTCCTGACTCTGGGTTTTAACTCTTTGCTTCCTCTGAGCCAGATGGGGCTCAGAGTCCGATGAGGAGATATTAGCTCCAATTAAGAGATTACCCACTCTTCCCCAAGTAATCTCGCAGGGAGTTTCCAACTCGTCACTCATTAAAATCCTAAGAAGTCCCTCTTCTCTGGTGGTTTCTGACTGCCAGCAAGCCTCCTGCTTCCTTCATAGAGAGGTTATTAGAGGCAACCCCCCATTCCGATCCCCCGTCCCAAAGGGCAGAGGGGAGCAGGGCCTGAGCCATGCTGTCCTCACCCCATTCCTGAGGGAACTGGTTCACAGAATCATAGAATATGCTGAGTTGGAAGGGACCCACAAGTGGTCACCCAAGAAGAAGGTGCAGGCAGTGGGCAGCTCTGTGCTGAATGCAGCATAAAACACCACAGTCCCAAAGGACCAAGCAGAGAGATGGAACAAAACATCTCAGAGCCCATGGAAAGGGTCTCCAGCACCAGCTTCTGGCTCGGGGGCTGTAAGGACACAGGCACTTTGGCACCTCTCCACTATTGTTAGCTTCCACTCTGCCCTGGGATGTAGGCATTTGGATATGGGGCCCTGCTGGTGCTGGAGCTGCCACAGCCCACATGGCCCAGCAGGGTAGATGGTTCACCTGTGCACCTTCATTCCTTAGGCATCCCATGAGCTCACTCCCACCTCAGCTGGAGGTGCAGCACAGGCAGTGTGCAGGCAGGCTGCCCTTCTCCATGCTGCTGGGCTGAAACCCTGACCCAGGCAGCTGAGCCACTTTTGCTGGTGAGGGCAGAGAGGGAGAGCAGTGAACTAGCTGACTTCTCCAGAATGGCAAAATACCCACAAAAATCCAGGTAGGAGATTTTGGTTTTGGCATTATGTTAAAGGATGCACTGAGGAAAGAGTGTGGGATGGGGCAGGGAAGGCCACACTGCAGCAAAGGATCCCATGAAGCAAAATCCAGGTCACAAAGCTGTGAAAACCAGGGTATTGATTTAATGCTGCTGCTGTCTTGAATTCCCTGTAGAGTTTAACCATGTGGACACTCATGGTGCCACCAGGAGATAAAAACAGCAACTGGAACAAGATAAAGAAATCAGAAGAAAAGTAGTGGTGAACCTTCTGAGGTCAGAGGAGGTAACAGCTGGAGGAGAACAGCTCTGGTGCCTGCCAAAATGCCTGATCTTGGAGGCATGTGGATAATTTATAATTTACCCAAATCCACTATAATGCTATGTCTCTGCTAGTCAGATTTTTCAGAGATGAGCTTTTGGGAAACCCCATTTTCCATAAGATGCAGGAAAAAATACAGAGACAGAACCCAGGAGGATGGTGTTGAGGACAAACAGGACACATGGTAGCTAAAGGGTGTAGTTGTCTCCACTGATGGACACGTCATGGGACTCAGTAAAGCACCTTTGAAAATGCCATGGGAGTCAGAAGAGGAACCATCAATTCCTAAGACTATCAGCCCATCCCGAACATCCAGTAGGACCTGACCTCCCAGAGCAGGGAGCCAATACAACTTTACAGCATTTCTCTCCCTTATTTTTCCAGTTTTCTTTTTTATTTTTTTTTTTTTGTGGCACACCACAGAATTGAAAGGGCCGTTTTACTGGACTATTCACTGTGCTGGGTAGGTCACTTTCCTACAGAAAAGAGATTGGTTTTTCCTTGCAGTATGCCTCCCTGGATATCTGTCTGCATCACCCCCTGGTGCCACTGTGCTGCCGATTCAGTTCCCGTCTTGGCCTCTCTGAACTCCCTGTGCAGTGCCTGTGGGATGCACAATCTCACCTTTTCCCTTCCCAGCCTATTCTGAATATGTTAATTAACACAAGTCCAGGTGGGAAACCACGGGACTCACATAGCTGATGTTTTCCGTCTAAATATCCATCTAAAAATTCCTCTTCTTTCTTTTCTGTCCCAGCTACTTTGAGATCAACGCTGCTACTTCACGCTTCACTCTTTCACCAGAACTTCAACAGTCTCTTGTAAGGGACTCTGAGGCTGAACGGAACTGAAAAGCAGTAGGTCACCCAGTCTCCCTTATATTTTGATTTTCTCGCTTTCAAAAAATATAGATGGTAAGTTTTCTTCCTTATAGAAGCTGTGCTGCTTGTCCCAATCACATCTGTTGGGAGTTTTGTTACCTTGGTTTCCATTTCAACCTGTTTGTCACATCCTGAAAAAAATAATTTCTGGGCTTGGACCTATTGCCCTTTGGAAACACCCAAACTGTATTTGTTAACTCCAGTACAATGGCAATTTTAATGAAAATCCACACTTCTGTCAGTAACAAAGCTGCTTCATTTCCCGTTTCTTTTGTGAGACCACTCTTACTACTGACTTATTGCTTTGCAGTTTATGAAACTGTTCCAACATATCACTTTCTGACATCCAGAACTATGGGGCTTTATTATTTTTAAGGAAATAGTTGTATGGTGAATTTATCAGAGAACAGAAAAGTATAGCTAAATCATGTAGTGGCTGGTAGTGTTGACTTTACCCAGGCTGCACAGGATGTCACATCACAAACTGCACTCCTTCATCTCCCTAGAAATGGTTGTGGAAACACACACCTTATTTTTATTACAATTCTGAGCCTTTTCCCATATTCCTTTCACCTCTGTGAGTCCAGTAAATCCTTCAGATCTTTAGGCGTGTTCTGGTTTCCAATTTGCCTAAATGATTTCAACTTAATTTTTGCCTTTATCATTTTGCTCCTATCATCCCCTCAGTTTCCTTTCCTGAAGAACACCTGCTTTGACTTCAGAAGTGCTCAAAAGCACTACTCCCTTCCCTTCCCCTTCCCCTTTCCCTTCCCCTTTCCCTGGCATATCTGCCCTCTGGGACTGTCTCGCATCACCTTTCAGTAGCATTTGTGCCAAGGGAAAGGAGTCTAATTTCCTCACTTCTGATAAAAAGGTATTTTGACTAGTTCCTCACTTATCACTGCAAACTCCTTCCTCACCTAGGATGTGCTGTCACTCTGCTGGGAGGCTTCCCCCTCACTGCACAGTTGAATTTAATTACACCACAGCCACCCTTATTACACAATTGAACTGCATTTGTTTAAACCGGCTCTGGTGGGTTATTCAGGAACAAGCAAACCCCACCCCTCCTCCTTCCCTTATGCTCTCTTACCTCTTCAGGTATTTTGGAAACAAGTATAAAGCCATTGTTATCAAGGAGGAAGCAATTCAGAATCTGCAGAGATGAAAGAGAATCAATATTAAAGATGGCTTTTTCCGTGTTTGCATGTGCGTGCCCAGGATGGGGCGGTGTGGGATTGTGACGATGGCAACAGCCTCGGCATTTCCGTGCCAGCCCCACGGCTCAGCTACCACGGGTTTTACACAATTGACTTTTCCCTCTCTGCCTCCATTTTGAGGTATTTAGTTCATGAGCTGTGACAGAGATTGCCTCTTGCCAGAGCTGCATGCAGGCCTAGCAGGCTGTGAGACACACTTAAGACAAGGTATGCTTCAGGAAGAGACAGGATATTGGGAGAGCTCTTCTCTTTAATAATATGGTGTCTAATGCCTTCCATTTTTAGGTTTCAGAGTTTTATAACCACTCATGAAATAACCCTCTCCTCACCACTGAGTATCAGTGCTGATCTTATTTTTATTTTGCAGAGCAGGAAATGGAGGCACAGAATTTAGATGAAAACCCTTAGGTCTTGCAGAGAAAAACTAGGGTGCAGAGGAAATCCTACATGAACATACAACAAGAAATCTCTGGTGATCCCGCTCTTCAGGGCAGGAGCTCCTGTCCCAAATATTCCTGGGAACAAGGTTGAAGCAGTGGCTTAAACACAAAGAGAGGTGTCCAGCACATGTCATGAGAGTGGCATGACAACTCCTCTTTCCTGTTCATCATCATCATGTTCAATATTGTCTGGGATGCCAGGGAGACAGAGGAGACAGACTTTCCTTAGAGCCACTGGCTGGAGCCCCCATATCCCTGCCTTGGCCCAGCTGGCCTCTCACAGCTGATGGGAAGACCTAAACTGCAAATTTTTCTTGTTAGCATGAGGTCCTGCCCCAGCTGTGCAATCTCTTGTGAGGAAACAACAGGAAATACTTTTCTTTTTGGGAGACAGAGATCTCCACAGAGCAGGTAGGCAGTCCCACCCATCATAGGTACAGAGAAGAAAGCTGGGCAACTTACATCATCCTGACAGCTGAGAGGACAGGCACCGTCGAAGGCACTGCACTGGAAAGGAAAAGTGGAGCATTAACCGTGGTGTTAAGGAAACTTTCCTGTCTGATCATGCACGAGCCACTCTGGCATTCACAATCCCACTACCAGAGACTTTCCCCGCTGATACTGAAGCCCCTTTGCAGCAGGTGGCTCCAGTGACCCAATGCGTTGCCACTTGACTCCCTACACACCCCACTCTCACACAAGTCAGACAAGTTTTCCCTGCTGGTTTGACTCCAGGTTTCCCATAGGAGAGTCTCAGATATCCAGAACCTTAAAACAATTTATTCATGGTGCAGTAACACAGAAAGAGCTTGAGCTGATGCCTTTGAGGAGGGACCCTGAATGAAGTAAACCCTCGGCTTTTAAACCCTGACAGTGTGATAGTCTGGAATCTTTCTGGTGAGACAGTGGCTCCTGCTGTGCCTCTGGGTGGCCCGACACCTGGCTGGCCCACAGGTCCCTGTGCCCTTTGTCGTGCAAAGGGTCAGTGCCAGTTCAAGGCCTCTCATCTCGGGCTCCCACCACCCAGAGCTCAGCCTGCAGCTGCACACCCAGCTACCTGCACTGAATGTATCCCTCAGCACATGGCATGATCTCATCTTACAGCCTCCCCCTTGGGACTGCTGAGCTAAAGGTCTCCGTAACAGCACCCCATAAAGCTCTGCAATTAAGCTGGCATTTCTTTGACGAGCTCTACAGCAGGCACAAGTTGGCCACTCGGTAGCTCTTCGTATTCTCTACCTCTCTGAGCAACATCCCCTTTGCTGAGGGCTCTGATCCTGCACCTGCCTCCCTGACATGCTTCCAGCAGTACCTCTGCGCTCCAAGCAGAGGTGCCACTTGTCAAGAAAGGGCAAAAGTGAAGGTTATTGTGCACCAGTGAGAAACCTGCATGCATTTCTGCATCTGTTAGTATCCAGACTAAGCGTATTTTAGATAGGATTCTTCTCAGGCAGGGATATTTTTTTTGTTGTTGCTGTTGGTTTCTTTATTCTCCAGACAGCTAATGATAAAATAGGATGTGAATGGTGCTCATGCAGCCCAAGGCAACATCCATTTGTTTCATTTAGGATTTCTGTGTACCGGACCTGACGTGTTTCACAACAGTGATCCGGGTGGGGACATGAGGGGTTAAGTGGTGAGTAACAAAGCCCTTCAGGTGCTTATTGATTTCATAATTGTTTGGAGTTTGCCCTGGCTGCATGTGTCTGTCTCTTCATGTTATTTTTTAATTCTATTTTCTCCAGCAGCAGAGGGAAGAAAGCTGACATGGTGATGCCATTTCTGTACACGGAGTCCCCTTCCTGCCAGAGGATTTTTGGGGTCAGGGAAGGACACTGGCATAGCACACAGCCTGTCTGCTCTCAGCCAGCTACCCTTTATTTTCTCAAAACCCTTAGACATAAACTCCAATCCCCTTCCTGGATGAATCTCAATAACAAGAGGTGAATTTGCCATTTCAGACCACGACAAGACCATAACTTTCAGCTAGAATTTGTTTCTCCTCTTGAGCTTTGCAGAACACAACCAGTAGTTTCAGTCTGCTGTCCCTCTGCTTAACTTCAGAGGAGGCTTGGAGATGCCTGAGTTTGCCTCAAACCCCACGGCTTTGCAATATCACATGTTCACACTCTGAATCCAGCTGGCTTTTTGAGGCTCTAGGGAGGTTGGCTTAGGAACATTCCTTTATCCACGGTTGCAAGCACCGTCTCACCCCTGCCTCACCACAAAACAGCATGTGGTTGTTTTGTTTCCCTGGATGTATTCCTAGAGGTGGCCCTGTACTTCACCCTGGTGGTTTCCTTCCTTTGGTCAGCAGAGAAATGTGGTCACAACAAACCACTATAATGGCCTTGGGGGATAACAAATACAGAGATCGGAGTTCAGATGTCAGAACAGAAACCCAGAACCAGAGTGGTTTCCCACAAGAAAGGCCTGTGTCTTACAGCATCTTCCTCAGCAGGGTGAGGACCAAGTCTCACTGCCGCTGCTCTTCCAGACCTGGAGAAGTTCTAGCAGTGCCCAGTGCTGGGCTGGCCATACTGCAGCAGCACCACAGTGAGGACCCTGGTCTGAGAGCACTGGCAGCTTGCAGAGTCTCTGAGGTGGGGGCAGAACTGAAACTGTGCTCCCTGGTTACTCTGAAACCACATCTGCTGCCTCGGGCACAGCTCCCTCCTCAGAGACCAGACTACCTCACAGCATCCTCCTGCTGTTGGTCAGGTCTCTGTGACCCAGAGCACTTTCAGCTTTGCCAAAGACACTTAATTACTGTGAAGACAAACACAGCCTCTGACAGGTTTGGACCATCTCCAGTGACTACAGACAAGGGACGGTGCCTATAATATGCTGGCACACAAATGACACAATTACAAAGCCAAGCTGCAGCGAGGCCACGCCAGGATGCCTCCCTGTCCCCAGCTTTTGTCTACTTACATCACTGTCATTGGGCTGGGAGATGGGAGGCACAGCGTGGACATCCAGAGAGGCACAGCATGCAGTGAAGCAGGAGAGGGAGAAAGAAGGAAAACAAAATCTGTTAGTCATTCCTCTGTCAAACGGCGGTCACGTCCTGGGAAAGCACACGCACGCTTTTTTCATACCAGCATCTACCAGGGCCATGGCCTGCAGGCACTTGGCACACAGGCCTCCTTTAGCTTCTTTAATAAGGCTTCTCAGTTTCACTTAACACCCGTGAGGGCTTGTTTCTGTGAGAACTGTCTGGGTATGGCCCTCAGGAGATTTTTTTTTAAATGATGCTCTCTGTTGCTGCTTCAGGATGCTCTCCTTTGCTTTGCAGGAGTCTTTTTAGCTCAGGTTAGGTTTATGTGATCTGCCCACCTGTGAGAATGCTCCTGCCACCCCCAGACAGCTCTGGGATTTTTTGTTCCCCACGTGTTCTCACTCCCGGTGAGCAGCTTCCTGCCCTCTCATCTCCTCTGTCATCCCCATCTGATGACAGTTCCCTCCCCTGACAGCAAAGAGCTGCTTCTCCTGCGTGCTGCTTTAATCCTGTCAGAATCACCCCTCCAGTAGACCTCCCTGAAAGCAAAGCCTGGGGAGAAAGCCCCTGGGTGGTAAGGGAAAGGTGTTTCACTTTTCCTGCTTCTCAGACTGGGGGAGGTGTTTTAATTATTCCACTCTCTCAGTCCAGCAAGAGTGTCCAAAATTAGGACAACACCAAAAGCCTATCCCTGGAGTAAATAATTTTTATTTTGGCAAGCTGGTAGTGTTTTGTTATCATTATCAAGAAGATAAGAGAAGGCAGTAGAATTTTTTTTCTGTGAGCCCAAAATCGCAGATTTCCGTGAGGTTTCTGAAAGGCTGAATGAGCAGAAACATATTTCTACAATTAAATGTGTCATATGCAGCAGAGCTAATGCCAGGCCAGGATGCTGACACTGTCAACACAGCATTTGCGGAGCAGACTCACGGCTCACATGGCATTAGTGCCATCAAAGGATTACAGAAATGTGTGACTTCAAACTAATCTACTTCATAAATCATTTAATATGAATTTTGCAAAAGCCCTCATCAAAATGCTGTCATATGTGATGTAACATAGCATCGACCTTGCTGACAAAGAGCATTAAATTGTCTCTCTGCATGACTGCTGATGCTCCTACCTGTTGCATGGTCATCCAAAACTTGCGTTGGAGCAACTCCAGCTTAATTTGCACACCCACCGCTATGGGAAACAAAAAAGAGGGGAGAATGAAGAGAGGAATGTGCAAGAGAGGAAAGACAAGTACAAGTTAGGAAAAGAGGAGTAAACATTTGCCCAAGGTGATGGCATGGAAATCACAATTGCAACCTGCTTCCAAGTGTGAACGATAAGCATCAGGGTATCAGCACTGAGTCAGACTGCCAAGTGAGAGTCAGAGGTTTAACAAGGGCGAGGAAAAGGGGACACTGACTGTACTGAGGTACTGAGACCTCCCTCACACTAAGCACTACGAAGCTACAAACAAATTAACAGAAAATAAAAATTCCTCCCAAGACACCCCAGGATATCATGAACTTTCCTCTTTGTCTTTTTCAGATTTGCCTGGTCAGAATGGATGTTTGTGATCACCCTGGCCCCAAGTCCTGTACCACGCAGCATCAATCAGAAATAAAGTAGGCCAGTGTGAGGAAGCGATTAATTTGAAAACCCACCTGTCTCAAGGGGAAATCACAGAGATTTAGATTGCTCCTAAGCCACTACAAATGCACAGAATTATGAATGTCACTTAACAGAAAGTGTGATTAGGAATAGCGATTTGTTACCCCGTCCCAGCCTAGCGCACGGTGGGCTAAGCAGAACTCCGTGTGTGCGTGTCTCTTAATGAAGTGTGCCCTAATTTCTTGGCTTAATTTCTCTTCTATTCCCAGCATCGTGTTCCTGAAGTAAGGCAGGAGAAGAAACGGCGCAGGGTCTCTGTAACAGAACGACCCAGCTGTCCCCGGGTAGGTTGCCCACGAGCACATGTAACAACCAGCGCAGCCGTGCACAGCCTGGCACGGTGATGGGGAACAACTGGGCTGTGTGTCAGCTAGTTGAATCCTAGAGCTCTGGAGGAATTACAGCCTCAAGCAGGACCTTGAAATAGAATATAAAGTGCAAGTGAGGGAGAAAAAGAAACACAAGAGAGGGAGATTCTGAGCCTTTTTTCACAACTGCCAATATCAGGCAGATGAAGTGTTGCTGTTTCTACAGATTTCCTCTGAATTAGAAAGAGCTTCAAAGGGGGGAAGAGATCCTTTAAATCTGAATCATGCCATGTGGGTGCTTTTAAACTAACAGTATGAACTGATGCTCTAATTCAGACGGGTATGAATTAAAATCGGAGTATGCAATGGTGTATTTTCTTGACGCATCTTGGCACCCGGCATCAGCTCTACCTTTTATACCAGTGTCCTTGTCACATTCCCACTGCTGGTACATCTTACAAAATCCCACGTATCAGAGGCACACTTCTTAACCTGCCTCTGCCTGCTGTAAACTGAATCTGACTGCCTGTACACGGGAGAAAGGAATGATTTCGTAGAGCTGCATTGCCCTGAGCCTCACAGAGCACAAACCAGACAAGACAAAGAATGCAAAAAAAGGAGGAAGGACAGGGCTGAGTCGAGCCTGGGCGAAGATTCATCACCTTCAGCGAGGCTACTGCAGGCATGGTTTGGCTTGGTGCCCCTGCTGACAAATCAGCAGTCCATGACAGAAGGGAAACGGTGCTGTTGCTGCTGAGTCCAATGAGGCCCACGCACCCCATTTGGGATGTAGCTTTAAATAAATTCATTGCCATCCTTCCAAACCACCTCAAGAAAGAGCCATTCTCCTTATCACAGCAGATCACATCAATGGGGCTGAGCATTACCCAGGACATGGAGTTTTTACGAGACCTGAAGAGGAGTGGATAACTACATAACTAACCTTGCAATGCAGAGCATACTCAGCGGCTCATGTTTTTTGCAAGTGGGAACATTTAGTCTCAAATTGTTCTTCAGAGGGATTTTAGCCCCTGGCTGTGAATCCTTGTTTCTGCCCAGGAGGCATGAGTAGCACATACCAAACCTGGACAGAGTTGCCTGAAACATGAGGAAGAAGAAGACCTGGAAGCTTGCGCGGGTGGCCAGTGGCAGGGACAGAAAGTGGAGTCTCTCAGCCCTCTTAATTCCTCTTTGCACATTGCCCACAGTCCTGTGTAACCTATCTGTGCTGTCTGACAGCAAGCCTTCTCCTTTGGATGCAATCTTTTCAGCCCTAACCTCTCCATAGGGGAGAGGGCTTGGACTTACTCATCTTCTCTACACTAGCCCTATTTCTCCTTCCCAGTGGTCCAGCACACATTTCTAGCTAGGGGAATCCATGGAGGTGTGGTGAGCACCACTCTCCTCCTCACATCATGGCACAGCCTGAAGAGGCTGCTGAAAGCAAAGCTGGGGTCTCTTCTGCCTCGCAGCAAGGTTTGTCTGTCTGGATGGTATCCATCACAGGGAACCGTGCTGGGGGGGATGGCTTCGCATTCTGCCTGGCAGCACCACTCCTTGCCAGTTGGCATGGATTGACAGCTACTGGCAAGAACCATGAGAAAATTTCACACATTCGGGTGACCTGAGGAAGACACGGGAACTGAGGAGAAACAGGCCACAGTCACCACCCCCTCAGTGCTAGTAACAAATAGTCGCCTGGGCATCTTCACGGTGTTGGTGAAGCCAAGGAGAAAGGAGGAAAGCAGCACTTCAGTCTGAGGTAAGGATGATGCTACAGCTCAGGTGAGAGGGAGAAAACTGAAATAAACTCCTCCGTGCTTGTTCCACACTATAACTGATTGTTAATGAGCCTTTTTGCTCTGGTGGCAAAAGTAAGCTGCAGCAGTGGGAAGATCTGAGGTCTATGAAATGATGAATGGCCTCTGCAGAGTGTTCAGAGACACCATGGATAATAGTTTTATTCCTAGTAATGTGCAAGTAACCTGTGCAACTGTAGCATCCCAGAAGTGAAATAAAAGACGAGGACAAGCATTGCTGAACACCTTGCACAGGCAGACATTGCTTCACTGTGCTGACACTGTGCTACCTGCTGTAGCTGTGCACTACTTCCCACCAGCAGGCACCCTGCCTGCAAACCCATGGCTGCAGTGGGCTCTCTCTGGAGCTGTGCACGGAAATAAAAGCCTTCCCCTCCACCTGTTCATCCCTCCATTGAGCATGCCTGCTTCATTAGCTCATCCTCTGCTTGCCTCTCTTTCTGTCTGCATTCTCTGGCTTCTCTCTTTGATTTATCCATATGTTGTTCTCATAAGGAGCTTTCCCCAAGATTTAACTCTTGGGCCTGCTGCACAACAAAAAGGCATAACAAAGAGTTGCAAGATTACATCCTGCAGAGTGCTTATCAAGATTTACCTTGCTGTTCACAACCTGTTTGCATGGCAGACAGTCCAATAGTTAAATAAAACCTGTGATTCAAGTAGAAGAAGGTACCAGAGCAGCCATGCCCATACTGTCTGTTTGCATTTTCCATTACCTGTTTCTGAAATATTCCCATTTTCCCTCTCGAGCCAGCAGCTCGAAATTTTACTTTAAGTCCTCTAAAAATTTTACTTAAAAAATAACTTCCAGACAAATGAAAATGAACAAAAGGCCCAAACCAGCCTGTTTATGACACTGGACCTGATAGAAGAGGCAGTTCAAGTAGATCAGCAAAAGAGTCATTCCTGCAAATGTGAGCAACCGAGGTCCTCAGCAAGCTGGAGGGAGGCAAGAGAGGGGTCTGATTTTGTAGGAGCCCATGGGAGAGCACAGAGGGCATACTGACAGAGGCAGTGGGCTGGATTCAGCTGTTTACTGCACCCCTGTACCAGCAGGCTATGTCGGGGAGGGCAGGGAATGCCTCTGTTACTGCACGGGTGTACCCACACCCGACACTTGCACTGGACATACGGCTGAGCACAGTCTCCCTGCTGCACACAAAATTCAGGGGAATGAATGGATGCAAACACACCTCTCTTTCACCCATTCCCCTTGTCCAACTATCTCCTACCAGCACTCCTCAAGTTTTCCCTGAATCCCCAAGAAAACAGACACAGGGCTGTGCTGCACCCAAGCAGCTTCTGGGGACACCCGCTGTGGCCGGACAGGATGTGGCCAGCCCACCGTGGGCACCTCTCAGTTGGACACGCTGCCATCCCCCCATCATCTCTGGAGCACTGGTGGAAAGGGGGTGCCCTTCTCCCAGGCCCCCTGGTTTCTCCCCTGCTGTCTCCCCTTCACTGCCACCGCTCGCCTCACTCCTGTACAAAAGCCAGGGCTCGTCCCTTCTCATCCTCATGCCTTTCTCTCCAGGTTTATTGTCATCAGACACAGCAGGCAGGGGGAGAGGTGGAGAGAGAGGGGGAGGTATTCAGCTCGGTGCCTTCTCTTGTAACCTGTGCCTGACCAATCTGCCTCCCGAGGGGCTGTGGGGAGCTCCTCCCGCCCTGGCATCTCCTCACCCCTCCTCGAGCCCCTTAGCTCCTGGCACCCGGAGAGGGATGGCAGCAAGGGTGGGAGGAGGGGGAGAGAGGGACTGACAGCAACTGCCCTTTCTCCAGGATGGGTTGAGAGAAACGAAAACCTCCCGAGCTCCTTCCTCTGGGTGTTTTGGAGCAGATCCTGCCTGCCTGGCGGGGTGACTCCTCTGCACTGTCTGTGCGCGTTCCTGTGCGTGTGCTGCTGCCATCGCAGATGTACCCCCAGCTGTCACTTCACCGCGCACAGTCTCTCCCTCTCCCGCCTCTCTCTCTCTCTTTCTCTCTCCCCCTATTTATTATTTACGGAGGATTACAGTCCCTTTCCCACGCTGTCACCTCGCCGTGCGGCTCCTCTGCCCTCCACGCGGGGTGAGCGGCTGGGTAGGGGGGGCTCCTGCCTGCGAGGGTCCACCGAGAGCCCAGCTGGCAACAGAGGGACTTTTCTGCTGGATTTGTTTTGGGATTGTACCGGCTTCACTGGAAGAGCTGCTATTCTCACAGGAGGGTCCATTCCAGCCTGAGAGAGGTAAGTAAAGACATCTCTCTTTTGCGTTTTTCCCCCCATCCCCAGCTAAGCGAGATCAGTGGAGCTGCCCCCCAGGAACCGGCTTCCCCGGGGAGGAGAGTGTCAGCAGGGGCAGCACTGTCTGCCAGACAGCACAGTGCACAAGTCTCGGCTGTGCCAGACTGATGGGCAGCGATGTTCCCGACAAAGCAGAACGGCAAACCTGCTGCAGAGGTGCCTGGTACTGGTTCCAGTCCAGTTTCAGTGCCGGCAGCTGGGAGCAACTTCTCCCAGCTGCGAATGGCACCAGCACCTTTCCTTGCACCACGGGCAGCTCAGATGCAGTTTTGAGGCTTAAGGGCTTGGTGCTGTGGTCACCAGGTGCCAGGCAGCTCCCAGGGAGCCCTGGCTTTTGTCCCCTCCTCGGGGCTGTGAAAGGGGTCAGCATGAGAGGTGCCACTTGCCTGGCCCGTGATGACTTTGCTGGCTATCATTTTGGACTCAGCTGTCTGAGTAAGAAGAACCTAAAATGGAGAAGTGAGGACCAAAATTGCACAGGTTCAGCACTCAGTACACAGCTTTAGGATGAGGGGAGGGTGCATGTATCTGTGTGTGGGTGTGTGTGCTCACGGACATGACCACAGGACATGAAGTGAAGGATGCCAAATCACAAGTAGAGCCAAAAATAAGTCCCAAGTTGCTTTCAGCATCTCTGCAGGCTCAACTCGCAATTTTTGAACTTTTGGGCAGAAGGCACAGCACTGAGTGGGGTGGGTGAAACACAGCACAGAGAAGCCTCACAGGCTTTTCCAGCCCTGACTGGCAGAAGAGGGCAAGAACAAGGTCTCAAATGAGCTGATGTGAAGCCCCCTATGGATAGGAGTATATATATAAGCATTAGGTGTCTGTATGGTGTGTGTGTGTGCATACATACGCATGCACAGACACGTGCACACACACACATCCCACACAGGGCATTCTGCCCCCTTCTTCTCCCTCTGCCTGACCAGTTTATTGCTGTCCCTGCATCTCATGCTAATTAAGAGAGACGTGTAGAACTGCAGCTCTCCAGATTTGGGGAGAGAGGATTTTTTAAGCTGTTGCTCCAACCAGGTCATGACCAGGCCCACCACATGGACTGTCGGGTAGCCTGAATGTGCCACATGTAGCACACCCCTGATGGGAATGGCAGCGAGCAGGGTACAGCACTGCTCTGCTGCTGGTGCCTGACCTGCCACTCAAGGATGGAGGGAGAAATTAAGATCTCATTTGGGAAAGGACTGGAGCAGCTGCTGTTGCACAGTTTAAAGAAGGAAACCCTTAAAAGACAGGGGAACCCTCATAGGCACACAGGCACTTGTCCTAAAGCAGGGGACATTTCCAGAAGTGAGGGAGCCTTTCCAGAATTGCAGACCATTTTTATTCTGAGCTTTGTCGCTCAGGTCTGTTTGGGGGTGGGAGGGGGTGGATCTTCCTCTAACTGCTGTGGGCAAACAACATTTGCAAGGGAATTATTCCACATGAGCGAAAGGCTTGCGGGAGTTGTCTCCCTGTCAGACATCAGTGCTGCCTCTGTTAGTGCATCTTGCCCACTTGGAGGAATTATGGTAAATCCTGAGCAAAGGGGCTGCTTGCAAAGAGAAAGGGGGAGAAGCCTTCTTATATAATTTTTATACCAGATCATAGCTTTACCCTTGCCTCCAGCAAAGTGAATGCCACATGCTAGCAAGGTGCACTCTCAGCTTGGATATCTTCATGAGTTACTCCAGTTTCCTGCCCTTCCTCTGGCCTTTTTTTAAGCCTGGTACAGAAAGGATTTTCTAGGCTGTTCAGCACCACAGAAGCCTGATGAAAGCAGACCTGTGTCTCAGTAGAGCTGGGATGCCCAGCAGTAGCACAGGGCCACGAGGATATCTGTAGAGGAGCATTCAAGGAGCAGCAGAGGCTGCAATAGGATGGGGACAGGCTCAAGCCTGTGGAAGGGCATTTCTGGGCAGTTCTTTGGTGACTCTTCAGCACTTGCCTGTTGCTGATCCAAAAGACAGACCAGGCAGTCTCCTGCACTTGCCATGTTTGGTTACAAGCAGCTGCTCACACTGCTTGACATCTGTCCCAGTCCTGGGTGGCTCAAGCCATAAATCAAATGGCCATACTGGGATGCTCCTGCCAGCCGGGGAATGTTTCAGCGAGCTACACCACGACACACACTCCAGTTCTCAGTGGAAAAGGAGCTGGAGTGGGAGTTCTGGGATGTTCCTTCTGCAGCGTGGAAACACGGAAATACCTTGTAACACATGCCTTTTTCCTGCTGTGGCTTTACGAACATGCCGGCTCACAAAAAAAGCTTTGTGTGACTGAGGGTATGAAAATAGCAAGAAGATGTGCATTTTTTCTATAAACCAGTTAAATTCCAGACTCAAGAGATGTAAGGAGAAGTTGTTTTGCCTTTGAGGGGTGAGATTATGTGAAATATATTATTCACATTGCAAAAAAAAAAACAGTTGAAAGTTGGAAAATGTCGGTATTGGGGGTAACGTACCATCTGCACTGGGTTGCAGTCCTGACTGGTGGGATGACATGCTGTATTTCCATGAGCTGATCATTCAGGGTACTGGCTACATGGTGTGCAAGGAGTGAAGCAGGGGGCTGTTATTTTCTTTGGTACTGCAAAGTGTGCGCCTGTTTCATTTGTTTACTGCCTGCCATCCAAGCCCTGGAGGCAATACATCATTATTCATTGTCTTGTGGTGTTCTGAAGATGTTAGCTGCTACAGTTGCCTTGTAGCTGATGATAGAGAATTTATGCTCCTCACGAGGCAAGAGAGAGTGGTTATTTTCCTTGCTTTTGAAGGGAAAGGAGACTTCTGCTTTAGCCACACAGGGAAGGAGCAGCAGGTGCAGGGTCGGAGCTTGGGGCCTCTTGGCTCTCGGTGCCATCAAGTCCTTGAGACCAGTTTGCTGGCTAAGCTGCCAGCATTTTGAAAAACAGCTGTGAGTGTTCAGCAGTTCTGCAAAATGGCCCCTAGGGTCTTGTGTTGGGCACCCGCAAAATTAGGAATGTACAGACTGTGGCCTCCTGCCAAAACTGTGGTTTAATATTCAATTCCGACCACATAAAAATAGCCTTATTTATTACAGCATCCTTATTGTTAGCTTGAGTATCATGTGTCCTTTGCACTGAGTATGGGATGGGGTACTGTGAAAAAAAAAGAATTAGTACTTGGTTGGGTAAGCAAAGGCAGCGCTGTGATGCAGACGTGCAAGTGGCTGAATGAAGACTGGGCAGGTATTATCTCACATTTAAGTGCTTGGCTTTGCAAGCCAAATAGCATATTTGATCACAGGGCAATTTTTTTTTTTAAGTAAAATGTCACTTTCTTGATTCTTTTTCTTTATGAATGGGAAAACAAGAGACTTTCTGTTATTTATGCACTGCAATGCCCCACACCCATCATAGGAAGGACTGAGTCTTAAATTTACAGCAGGGCCATACAAGTCAGAACCTCCCCACCAACTGCAAGCAAAGGCTTTGAAGACAGGGCCTGCTACCATGATCCTCCTCACTTCAAGGAGGTCAGGAAGACTCCTTCCCCATGAACCATGCTCTCACACAAGGAATAAAAAAGTAGGACCACATCCTGAGTCTGGAGAAGAGCTGTTAGAGGCAACTTGACTTGGCACTCATCACTTGGGCTCTCTTTCCACTCCTGGTGAGGCTCTCTGCTGCCAGTGCTGCCAAAGCAGGGCACGGTGCTGCTGTGATTTTGCTGTGAGGCACCTGTGTTGGGGCAGAGGGGCTGAAGGTGGGCCCTGCTCTTTCCACACCACTTGCATCTAGTGATTTTGATGGGATGTGATCTTTGCCATAACTCTATCTCTTCTGTGGCTGCAAACCCTCCAGAAAACTAAAGTCACATCAAATTTGAAGACCTTCCTCAGATTCACCAAGCCCTGCAGCATGAGGCTGTGATCTGTGTGCTAACCCAGATGCATCCAAAGATCCTGGCTGGAACTCTGGATTGTAAGAGCTGTCACCACATCTTGTTGAGCTATGGGCAGTGTTCCCAGCTTGTAAAGAGCATAATTGTGTCCCAGAGATCTGCAGGCACCCCTGGAGCTGCAGGCAGCAGCTCAGATCCCACACAGTTTGCGTGGACTTTGCAGGGTTGCCCCTCTTGAGTGCTCTGGGAAGGTGATGGGGCAGCAGAAGAGCTCCAGGCTCTCTCTAACAGGCAGCACCAACAACCTCATGCCACAGCGGCAACCAAGTGAGACAGATCTACACAACCCACCGAGGCAGAAAGAGGACTCCTTCAGAGTGCAGCACAAACGCTCCGTGTGTGAGCAGTGGGAGTCGGCCTTTCCTGGGCAGGTTTGCCAGGAGCCGTGTGCGTGCTGGGTCACCAATCCCCTCGCTGATAAGAGCTGAGAGGAATTTTACTGCTGGCATCTTGCGCTCTGGCCCAGCAATGTGCGCACATGGATGGACGATCCCTGCCCCTGTGAACACACCCAGGGCACAGGCTTGTGAGACGGTGGGGAAGTTCTCCCCTTGTTGGACCGTGTTTTCTACCTCCTCTCTCTCTTCCTGCCCCAACTGCTGGAGTGGCAAGACACTGCCCTTGCAGCTGGTGGTCTCATTCTGGGAGCCTGGCAGCCAGGGAAGCACAGCCAAGGTGGTGAGTGATGGAGGGGGGGGGACTCCCTCACTGAGCAGCCTGGGTGGCAGCAGTTCACCACACTGGCATCTCCACAAGAAGGATGAGTAACAAGAGTCAAGCACTAGGAAGGCCAGTGAGCTGGAAGTTCTGGTGTATTTCAGAATACAGGGTATAGAAAAAGGCAAAGGCAGTTTTTGGGCTACTGCAGACATGAACGATGGCAAACACGCAGGTGTGGGGTGTTTTGGGTGCAAGAGATCACCTAGGCTTGCAGAATCTCACCTCATTTTAGGAATGAAAAGCCACAAGGAGAAAAGCTTATGGCTGAAGTGCCTTGGCCCCCATAAGATATAACAGGGGTTTCTTGGTGTTGATTTGCAAGCCCCTGGATTTGGCAGTCTGGCCATATTGTTCAGGCTAGACTTCTGGCCTAGCACTCCAGGGACAGAACTGTGAACTGAGAGCTTGTATTGATTAAAAACCTTATATTTTCCTATCTTGCTGCTAAACTGATGCACCTCCATCTACTACTCTGTGCATGTAAACGTATCTTTTATCTCAGACAGACTGGCACCTTTCCTCTTAAAGTTCTGCTGCATCCTTTGACTCTAGTAAGATACACTGGGTCGTGCCAAAAGTCCCAAACCCTCAGAGAATCCTTAATAAATGTGGGCCTATATCTACCTTTCTTCTTGAACACCACCCAAATACAAATAAGAAAGAGAATACTTTGGGATTCAGGGCACCATTCAACTAAGAAGTGCAGAAAATACCTGTGTGTGCAGTGGTAAGGGGATTGAGGACCAAAGAACCAGGATTCTCCCATTAAGCTGTCTTCTCTGCTTGGAACCTTTCCCTGGATTGTACCACCCACCCACACCCCCAGGGTAGGCTTGCCAGGAAGGGGGGAGCAGCATTTCAAATGCCAGTGAGCTGGAGGATGCTTGTGGGGTGTAAAGGAGGAACTGGGAGCAGAAGGGTGCCTCCCTCAGACCTGCCAGGTCAGGAGCAGCTGCAGTCCTTCTGCCAAGGGACTGAGCGAAAGGATTAAGGGCCTGAGCTACCACTGTCCATGGGATTAACCCCTGCAGGAAATTAAAGTTGCAGAGAAGGCTCTTCACAGCTGAGAGAAAGAGAAAAACTGGGATCTGGATTAGAACTGGCAGGGCTGGTGACAAGCCACCACCCACAGCCAACTGTTCCCGGCTGGATCAGAAAATGTTATCTCAACCTTCATGTAGAACCCCCCTCCACATCTCGGTTACCAGTTTTTGCCAACAGTGTGAGAAGAGCGAAAACATCACTCTGTGGAAAGAAAAAGAGGAGGAAACTGGGTAGCCAACTCACGTGTCCCTCCTCTGAGCCCCTCTCCCACTCCCTCACCCGCTTGCCTCCTCAGCTGCCTCCGTTTTGCAGGGAGGAAACATGCACGTGGTCTGTCGCATTCAATAATACTTGGAGAAGATGCTGGCACACACAGGGCTGGATTTCTTCCTGTCAACTGCCCCCTCAGCTCCCCTCCTGCTGCTGCTCTGGGCCTCCTCCATATGCCGCACTGTGCTGGGACTTTCCTGTCACTCCTGTGTTGGGTATCCTGGTCTCCGCACCTGCTTCCACAGCTTCCCAAGGAATTCCACATCTCCACAGCAGTCTGGGTCTTTCCCAGCAGTGCTGCCCTCTCTGGCTCCCCTTCAGATGCTCTGTACTTTCTCAGAGGGTTTGCTGAGGCCTTATGTCCTTGGTATTTCCAGCCCCTCCAGCATCTCCCAGTCTAATTATTGTGCATTGTTCAGGGAGGCTTTGGATGGAAATAGTGTGTACTCGTTAAGGTACGGAATGAGGAATCAAGAAAACTGGCTTCTCTCCTGCTTTTGCCATAGGCCTGTCAGGAAACTCTGGGGAAAATCTGGCCAAAACTCCTTTATTCTGTGTAATTTTGGCAAGCCCTACAAGTACTCTTTGCAGGACAGGAGAGTATTTACAAGCCCAAGTGCAAGCGCTGCTCTCGACAGCTTTGAAAGTCCTGAGCGGGAAACTAATGTGGGCTCATGGTGAAGTATCAAAAGCAAGACAGCTGAAATTTCAGCCAGCCAAACTCAACAGTCATTTTTACTGTATCATAGTTTGCCCCTCCATAATATGGGGATAAAGTTGATCTTTCTTGGAGGGCCTTGGGGAGGAAATATTTTTTACCATCAACACATTTGCATTTCAGAGGTGCCTACACATTGCCAATTCAAAAACCAGAAGCTTTTTGACCTCTTCACATCACAGAGAAAAGGGTGTGGTTTTTATTCACACCAAGTCAGGAATGTGGCAGAGTCCCTTACAATACCAAGTGGTTTTTGCATGCTTTCTACTTCCTTTACAGCTTTCTGTATGAGGTGCTTTGCTTAGCTGTGACTGATCACTGCAAGTCAGAGGGCACCATTTCTTCTGCAGCTGGGTTTTTCATATGAATTTAAAATGTGCTTTCCATTGATTGTGACAGCACAACACTAATGAATCCTGAACACATGCGTTAATAAATCAGCAACTGCTGCAAATGAAGCCCTCAGCTATTTAGCTTAGAAGCTCACTGGGCCAGTGACACATACTATGTTTCTACAGTGCTGCTGAGCTTTGTTACCACCTCTGTGTGCTTTTGCAGTCCAAATAGATGACAAATGAAGAGCTGCCACTGCGACAATGTGACCTCTTGTGATTGATAATTTGCATGACTAACTTAGGTCTCTTGGGGGACCAAGAACGGGCATCATCTCCATGCCATCTGAACCCATTTGGGGTGTATTAATCAGCTGACATCTCTTCCTGCTGCCTGTGACTCCTGCCCCCCAAGGGCTGATAAAGGAACAGGCGTAGAATAACATGCTTTGGTCACTGGGTGCTGGGGTACCACTGTCCCCCTCCATTATAGGGTGATACTAATAAAACATGAATCCTAAAAGCAACAAGGAAAGGGGAAGGGAAGAAGATAATCTCCTTAAAACATCCTCCATGCCCTCCCTTACCCTGCTGTTTTTCTGATAAAGGCTAAAGTAATTCAGCATCAGGAAGGGGAAAGGGACTTTGCTATCAAGGAGAGTGTGGGGGAGGGATGAACGTCTGTGTATACTTTCTGATAATTTATTGCTGGCATCTGTTGCAGCCTCTGCTACCTACCCTTCTGAAATATAGGTCACCCACATGCCCTGCCAATGCTCATAAGCCAGGCTGTTAACGGAGTCTGATCCCTGAGCCATGATCCAAGGGTTAGTGCAAAGGACTAGGAGAGATAATCAGAGACAGAAGTTGCTGGGCTCTGTTTTTCACAGTGTCTCATCCTAGTGACACAGTCACCTGTCTCTCTAGCCTCAATGTTGCTATCTGGAAAATGGAATACCTTTACATCCACCTGCCAAGAGCAGAGGCACTACCGGCTATTATCTCAGCCTTACTTCTGAGGGTCATTAAATACAAAGTAACACCACCTACAACTATGGTAAGAGCCATTCATAGAGCAAACGGAAAGCTTCGGATAGAAGGTGCCACAGAATTGGGAAGTGTTACTAAAACAGTATGTGGATGCAGTTATCTGAAACCCTCCCCACTCTCATAGCATGATCCTTGGGACCCTACTCACAAAAGCTAAGGCTTTTGTGATACTGCAGGGGAGTGATACTGCAAACATTACTGGTGTCTGGGTAGAGAGAAGCAAAGCACAAGACAGGGGTAGTGTCTGCTGTAGCTTTTATGCCCTGGCAAGCGCTGCAAAATCATTACAATCTCCTCTGAGCCCCCCCCCACTCCCTGGCCCCAGCAGTAAAGTTCCCTGTTCAATCTAATTAGGGGAATCCTCATTAGAGAGTCCTCTAGAGTCTGACAGCAGGCCAAATGTCCAAGTGGCACTTCAACTCAGTGTATTTTTGGCCACTGGAGCCCATGGGCCAGAAATGGATGATTTCATTTTGTTGCTTTGAGCTGAAACTAAAAAAGTTGTCTTTTACTGTCCTATATGAACAAGTAAGAAGAAAAGGGCATCACCAGCGCCACAGGCTACCCTGTTAATTTCTCCAGAGTCTGGAAAAGACATGCTACTCCAAGTACATGGAAGAAAGCTCTGGATACTGTGTCCCACGGATCACAGGGCATTCAGCTGACATGTTGCTCTAGGGAGAAGGAACCATCTAGTAAGCCCAGGAGAAAGACTAATGCCTGGTTTGTGGAGCCCTTGGGTGACTTGGGTGACTTCAGAACATTCAGAGCTCCAGCAATGCTAATCAGCCTTGAGCCCCCAAACCCAAGCAATGCCAGGCGGGTTCGGAACGGCACAGTGCCTCTTTGTCTTGAGTTGGGGGCACACAAGGGGCACTCCTAGGTCTGGCAGAGTGTTCACTGCTGGAAAAAAACCCTGGCTCTCAGGCTGAAAGCAGCCAGACAGAGCTGGTGCTGCTGTGGAGAGGCTTGAGGTGTGGGCAAGTGCTAGTTGTCCCAGGACTGGGTGTTCCCAGTGCTGCACTGGCAGCGAGTGCAGTTGGCCTGGTGCTCCGCAGAGCAGAAGGCATCTCTTGGGCCACAATAAAACAGCTAATAAAGTCAGAACTCAAGATAAGTCAGAGAAAGCATTTAAAAAAGAAACCCTCAAAAATCCTCTCTGCTTCCTTGCTCTCTCCTGACTGTGGAATATTAATCACTAAGGGTATAATGTGCTTATGGGCAGTCAATGCGTGGGAGAAACTGTTTTTTTCCGGATCCTTGGAATTAAAATTTCTCCATAAACCTTCTACTTCAAGGTACAAATGCAGAAGCTCACTGTGCTTTGCCCTTCAGCAGCCAAGAACCTCTACCTATTCCAAATCTACTGTTCTGCCACCTGAGCATATGGTATGCTTGGAGAAGCAGGCGGTTTTGTGGAAGACATGGAGGCTGATAAATATGGGTTACAGAAGAGTCCCCAGCACATGTGCAAGCCCAAGTCTGTGCACATATTTGTAAATGTAAGCTAGATTGGTGACTAGAATATGTGCATTTGTACATGAAGGCAGTCACTTTGAAGTCTTGGAAACACGTGTACGAGTGCACACAGGGTGGCTGCTATCTATGGGGTGGGAGTGTTGCGTGTATGTGACATGCTTTTAAAATAATCTTGGGTTTATCAAGGCCCCTCCATCTTTGTGCATGTTGCAGTGCAGGAGACAGCATTAAAGCCTGAACAGGTGTTAATCACTATGCACTGTAATAAATTCTAAACATAGGGAAAGGGCTTATTTATACACGGCTGCTCCTCCCACCCTGCACTCTCTGCTTGAGCCTTGGTGCTGCCTGAGAGAAAGAGGCGCCCGTGAGGTACCAGAAACCAGTGCAAGAGCTGGACTTGCCCTGGCAGAGTAGAAGGATCTAGGGGTAGAAACCTTGACCCTGTCACCATCCCCATGCCTGGGTGTGCCAGTCCTGCCCTCAGCCCCCCACTGTCACCTGGGGATGGTGCAGGTGAACTGCACAGCAGCGAGCACGGCAGGGGAGACACCAGCCCATGGCCTGAGAGGGGGTATGGGCTGAGGGGAGATCACAGAGGGAAATTGAGTCACAGAGCACCCAAGGAAGCTGATTTTGGGCTTTTTTGTTTTGGTTTAGGTTTGTTGTTTTTTTTTTCAAAAAAGCTTAGCCCCCCAATTGGAACTGAGCCAGCTGATACAGACGGGGTGTTATAAAACAGAGCCAAAAAGCAAAAGCACAAGGAACAGAGCTATCTATAACCCTGACAAAAGTTAGATGGAGTGAAGGTGGGGAAGAGGGAAAGACAGAGCGTGGCAGGCGGCTGCCCCTGATGCTGAGAGCAAGGACGTGATCATTTGGCAACAGGATTTGGAGCTGATCGACTCGCGCTATCCAGCAGGCAGATAAGGCTCTGTGGCTGTCAGCTTAACTCTGCCGTTTATTCCAGTGCTGTAGGGAGTTAAATAGAGCACACGGAAAGCCTGCTGCTGGGGAATGAAAGTCAAGGAGGGAAAGGGAAGGAAGAGGCTGTAATTGGGCAGTGTCCGGGGAATCAGGTGGAAGTGGCTGCAGGCAGAACCTCTCCAGGTAAGTGCTTGTGGCTTTTCATCCTCCTTTTCAATACGGACAGGCGAGGAAAGGAGACTTCAGGGTGGCATTTAGGATGGAGACATTTATATGGGGGAAGCTGAAAGTCTCCTCAGTCAGGTCGAGCAGAAGCACCAAATGGGGACAGCTATTTGTTGCGGCTTCTCCTTCAGTGGGGGCTGCAGGGAAAGGGCTCCAGCTCAGTTTGGGGAGTGGGGGGTTGCAGCGGGTGAAGGTCGAACCAGTTTCGGTACCGTGAGAGGTATTAATCTATTTGGTGCATTGACATTTAGGTAAGTGATCTAAATAGCCTTGCTAATGTACTAGTCCAGGCACTGAACCTGCTCATCATTCTCATCAAGATGCTAATTTAAATATTTTTTTCTGGTGGTTTACATTCCCATATAAAATAAATCAGTCACGGGAGCCTGGGGGAGGGTAGGGGAGCCTGACATGTGTGTGGGGAGAGTGTCCTAGTGGGAGTGCATTGCCCAGCTAAAATAACAGCTGTGGTTGTTGTCAGAGCCCCTCAGAGGGGATGGAGCAGGGTTTATATCTGTACTCTGGTTGAAATGCGTCCATCTAACTGCTGCTGCGACTGTGGATGGCACGTCAGAGAGTGCACAGGGGGACAGAAGGGTTCGTGGTGTTTTCCTTTTTCCTGCCTCCTTGTATCCAGAAGGGAAGCAGGAGGGAAGTTGAAACCTGTTGTCAGTCACTTATTGTCAGGGGATAGTTTATGGTCTTTGGGTTTCTAATTAGACTGAGGATTTTTCCTTCTTCTAATTAAGATGCAATTCCCCTCTTTTCAACACTCCCACTCCGTCTCCCCCGCCCCAGGTCCTTCCTTCTCCTTCTCCTCGGAGGCTCGCTTGCTCTTCAGCTCCTGCAGTTGCTGCAGTGGGAAATCCCCAAGCTGAAGCTGTGCTGTTCTAGCCACCACATCCATTTTACCTTAAAACAGACAGGAAGTGCTGGTAGGGAATACGGGGAGGGGGTGGGGGGGGGGGAGGTGGGAGGGAGAAAAGCAGCTTGGCAGCCGCTGGTGCCCAGATCTCTGTGAGCCTGAGCCGTGCGTCAGGGAGAGGATGCACAGGTGGTACCAGCCAGCGTGGAGGCGACAGGAATGAGCTGGAGTCTGCTGCCCTGGCAGGGTCACCTTAGCAATTCATCAGGCTAACCTTGAGCATGAGGCTGATGTAGCCACCACGGCAGGCTATTCAAGCACAAACTTCTCTCTCTGGCACTTAGGTGAATCAGGCCTTAGTTCTGCACTGTGAGGTTCAAAATGAATTAACATTGAGCCTTCAACATGCTGTGCCTCCTGAAACATCCTCCATTTCTCCTCCAAAACAGAGATGATGCCTCAAAGGCAACACACTAGCTGGGGAGGTGAAAGGACAACACTGAGCCCAGCCCCTCGCTCTCCACCCAGGGAACTGAATCTCATCCGCTCTGCTCTGCTTTCTCACTCCAGGACCTGGCAGGCAGGCTACAAGGTCATTCCTTCTCCTTTTGGGGCTGTGTGCCAGGCTGGCTGTTGGATGTGAAGACACGCTGGAGAAGACAAGGATGCTGCCTACAAGTGCTGGCCACCGGTGGAGGAGCAGGTTCCTCATGAGGTGGCAAGAGGCTTGTCGTAAGTAATGCCTACTCAGGTACTCAGTACGATATTCCTGTTTGTCAAGGGAGTGGGAAGAAAATGGGTCACATCAGGGTTAAGAATAGGGGAGAGGGACAGCTAAGAATGGAGATGTTTGAACTAATTCCTGATTCCTTTAGAGGCCAGGCTAGCTGGGAGGGAGAGTGAGATTCTAAAGCTGAATATGGGCTTAAAGTGGGACAGCGAGTGATGATTGCTTCTGAATTCCAGTGGGCCTGGCAGGTGAGAAACAGCATGACAGATACCATCACACAAAGATCCACCCCGAGCATTTCTCAAATCAGTATCCTATAAGCTGCAGACTCCTCTCTATGGTAGGGGTTTATACATAGGCTGCTGAACAAGGCTCCCAGCTCTTCACAGCAGAACTCAAAACAGATTTTAGAAGGGAATGCAGGACGTGAAGGCAGAATTCTCCTACTAGGCACTGCCACATGTAGGGAAAATCAAGGAGTAAATAAAGAAGATCTCTTTCAAATTAAATTGTAAGCATTCAGCCTGTGCATATTCCCAGTGGACTGGGACTGCTACAGTACCTCTGAGTGCAGGGCAGAGACAGCTAGGGTGATGTGGCCTTCTGGGAATGTACCTGGATCTCAGAGAAGCATCTGGGGACCACAGCAAAGGAAAGGGAACACTTGGAGTGTGTCCATCACTACTGCATGCCCAGGCAACAAGTAGGTCTGTGGTTTCCCTTGTTCCAGTCCTCCTGATCAAATTTTGGGCTGTAAGAAGCTGGAGGAATTATTCCTTCTCCAGAAAACAGGCATCTTTGTAATCCATCCTCACAGACTAGACTGCTATATAAATTATTTATAATAAATGCTATTGAGTCTTGACTTAATCTGATATACCTGCATCAGCTTTCTGCCACCTACTAGAGTCACCAAACACCTCACAAAGTAACTTCATATGTCCCTAACACGAAAACACATATTACTCATCCTTCCGTAGGGCTGGAAGACATCTCCAAGTTCTGTCTATGGCTTCCCTGCCTCTCTTTCCCATGGAGCTGCATCCTAACCAGTGCAATGAATTCCCTGGTCTCAGCTCACATCCCAGTGTGATGCACTTCTTGTAAGGAGACGAAAATGAAATCAGGCTTTCTCTTCTCTCTGTGATCTTAGTAAAATATTTCCAAAAGCATACAGCAATGTATGGGTAACAACAAGACATTTTTGGCATATCCTATACATGGCTGCAGAAACTTGGCATAAATCCATTTCCTGAACATAACCATAGCCAGCTGCCTGAGACTTTGTTCCTACCAGCCGCTGCCAGCACACATACTGGTGGAACCCCACAGCCACCCAGTCGGCGCCGGAGGCGGGCAGGCATTTTGAGAGATAAGCCCTGTGAGCAGAATGCCACCTGTATAGCATTACACACGGTCTGCTCTTGCCTTTCTTGGTGTACAAAGTAGCTAAGTGTTATCTCATCATCACAGCTGTCAATCTATTATTAATACTGTGCTTTTGTTAAGCATCTAGGAAAAAGACGGGGTCACTTCAGTGACTCATGGCTCTCTCCCTTCCCCATTCTAGCTCCCATTCTTTTAATTCTCTTCCTACAACAAGGCTGTGATGTATTCTGAACAGAATTAAATATCAGGCAGCCAGTCAGTACCTGTACTGCAAGTCCAGAGGGTACAATCTGCTTTCATGGCAATCTCTGCTGTGAACCCCAACATTTGCATGCCAAGAGAGCACAGAGGTGCTCGGGGTAAAGATCTGTCTTGTATTTCACCATAAGGATCCATGATTATTGTTAAAAGGTCACACATATTGGCATGGCCTGGGCTGATGTACACCTGAGCTCTCAACTGTAGGATAGCAAAAAATTCTTGAAGGGTTGAGAAAGATGGATAAAATAAGAGAGAGCTGGGACACTCTCTGAATGCTTATCCCTTGGTCCTTAATAAAGTTGTATAGCTTAGGATCCAAAATGGGTACTTCTCCTTAGGCTACCAGTCCACAAATCTGTCAGTTCTCACAAGGATCTCTGGGAACAGAAAAACACCCTATGCAGGATGACAGGGTTTGAGCATGAAGGCACCTTGCTGACAGAAGCCAAGTCGATATAAAAAATGGGCTATGGGTCAGACTGAGCTCTAGAGAGTGGCACAGGGGAAGAGAGGAAGAGCATGGCTGACTTCAGAACTGTTCCAAGGAGAGCTACTCCAGAGCTTGTGTCTCCATTGGCTCCCTCTCTTGTGGCAGTCCTTTCACAATTCCTTTAGGGTTAAGAAACAAAATACCTGCGTGTTGGTTCTTTGAAAAAAAGCAGGACAAAAGAAACTGATTTTCAGTTTAGGAAAGAATGGTTAGACAATAAATGCATCCACCTTAGCCACCATTCACCCCTAAAAAGACCCCTAAAACCGACCCCTAAGTGACTGCCTTCTCTGGAGAAAAGTGAGAAACGGAGAGGACAGGGCATGACATACAGACGAACCTGCTTCAGTTTTAGTTAAATGCTTAAACTTGTCACCTTAAAAACTGCGAGGGAGCTGAATTTGCTTCCCACATTGAAAAATTGTGGAATTCATTGTGCGAGCTCAACTCCATGAAAGGAATTAAGATGAAGGATGCAAATGTTTTACATAGTCTGCTAAAACATAACTCCCACTCCTCTAATGACAGGAGGCACAAAGCTCACTTTCCTGTTGCTATTGCTTCTTTGTCACAGAAATGAGAGTTTTAGAAGCCACTGGCACCCAGGGAGGGTTGGTAACAAGTGTCCCAACTCCACTAAGAGGATCTGGACCTATGTCTGGAATGGTGATCCAGAGCAGCCTCTAAAAAAATGCAGATTTGTGGACTGTCTGATCTTAAGTCTGAGACACTGAAGGAGAAAGGGTGCACATGGTAACCCTTTTCCTAACACCTCTTTCTTTAGTTACCAATCTGCAATTTTTTTCCTCATTCCATTGCTGTGGGCAATTTTAGTCAGAGGAGGTACTTCTGGGGCTATTGTTATAGGATCATTAAACTGTTTTGAGAGCAGTGGCAAGTTCCAGGTGTTCAGTCCAGGGACTTCTTCTTACTTTTTCCCAGCTTTCTTGGTCATCCCTTTGTAATGTAATCTAATTCATTGAAAGTGGACACAAGGCCCACATGACACACTATGAATATGGTAAAGCAAACAATACCCTGATGTAGAGGCTAACTTAGAACCTGAGTCTGATCTATCATAAATCTTAGAATTCAAACTGCAGGAGTGCAAATGAGATGTAGGTTGTTTTGTTTTCCTTTTTCTTAAAAGCTCTTCATTAACATGTCTATTCCTGAAGAAAACAGAGCTTCTTAAATATAAACTGGTCCCTCCTCTCTCTGCCCTGACTGTTTAGAAAGAGTTGTCCTTTATCAGAGGTGACACCTCCCACTGCTCTCTGCTCCATTCTCCTCTGACAGGTACCAGTGCTCCAGTATCTGTCAGCAAAGTCCTCTGGGATGCACTGTTCTAACTTCTTTGTGAAGCTGGAAGGATATTTACTTGCTCATAAAAATGAAAGGCTAAGAGGAAAGTCACGGTGTGAGGGTGCAGGCCAGCAGCAAAGGGATGTAGCTGTGAGGAAACTCATTACACTGCAGGGCATTGCAGCGAAGGGTCCTGCTGTGAGGGTTGTACTGTGGTCCTAGCTGTGCTCAAGGTGGCGATGGGTGAGGGTGGGAAAGCACTGCTCTAATACATGCACTCTTTCTTTCCTGCTTTTCACCCACCAGTGCTTGGCTGTTGGCTGTCGCTATGTGCTGCTGAGTCCTTCTTTGCTTGTCCTTCCTCCTGCAAGTGTAACAGTGGCAACCTGGAAGTGGACTGCAGTGGCTTGGGCCTCTCTTCCATTCCCTCAGACATCCCCACAAACACCAGGACCTTCCTCTTTCTCAACAACAAACTCAGCATCCTGCCAGGGGCAGTGTTTTCCAACCTCTCCGCTCTACAGAGGCTGGACCTATCCAACAACTTCTTGGACCAGCTCCCTCAGAACATCTTCAGTGACCTGGGGAACCTCACGGAGCTCCAGCTGAGGAACAACAGCATTAGGGCCTTGGACAAGGACCTGTTACAACACACGGCCCTGCTGCGTCAGCTGGACCTCTCCATCAATGGCCTGGCCCAGATCCCCTCGGGAATCTTTGACGACCTGCCTGCTCTCCGCTCCCTCTCTCTCAGGTCCAACCGCCTGCAGAGCCTGGACAGGGTGACCTTCGAACCGCTAACCAGCCTGCAGCTACTCCAAGTTGGGGATAACCCCTGGGAATGTGACTGCAACCTCCGAGACTTCAAGCACTGGATGGAGTGGTTCTCCTACCGAGGTAGGTGCTCGCGCTGCGGGAGCGAAAGCGCAGAAGTGCTGGTCTTCCACGGAAGGGCAAACAAAGGCAGGGGAGAAACACGAGCAGATACACCTGTCAGGTCAGGCTGACCCGAATGACAGGTCTTAGCCAAAGAGTATGAGGACCATACCACAGTTTAGTGCCACTGCACATTTGTATAACAACACTGCCAGGCCAGGGAGTCCTCTGCAGCCCCCGATCTCCTATTTCCTTGTTTTGTTTCTAATCTGAACAATTACTCCCCTCCCCCCTTTTTTTTTAACCTTGGGAGAAGAAAGAACTTTCCCCAAGTAACATCAAAATTTTAGGATTATGAGTTCATCTCTCCCTTTCTGCCTAAAGAGAAGAAATGCTTTTCACACTTGAAAATAGCCATCCCATTCTCTTTCTTAAGCCAAGAGAACTAAAAGTCAGATTTGGCTATAAAGCATCAGGTTTTCTGCCAACAAAAGAACCATAGGCAAAGGTGCCACTTAGGAAAAACACTCCAACTAATATTGGTAAACCTAAACTGAAAGCTCAAATTTACAAGCCAGGCCCCAAGTCAGACTGGCTACAAAATCATCATTTTAAAGCAAGCAGTTTTTGACAAGTTTGTATTTCCACCTTTTCCCTGAAACAGAGAAGGCTGAAAGGTACATATCACTTATGGGGAATGCTGATGGGATGACATATTTTTAGGAGCTGCAACTCAAAGAAAGATGGCACATTTTACAGGAATGACGATTGAAGGCCTGACCTTCTGTTGCTGAAGCCAACGAGTAGGAAAGGGTCTCAAATCATGCGGATAGCAACAGTCAGCTGTCACATCCCTGCTGATCACAGCCATGCTGCAAGAAGATTATCTCTGCCTATGGCTACACTGCAGTCTGAAATATGCATTTGTGTGAGCAGAATCAAACAAGCATACAAGTGCCACTGTCCTCTTTTTTTCATTTTTGGTTTGTTTTCTTTCTTGACTCCCATATCACACGATATGTTGATGGAAAGCACACAGAGGTAACTTTGTTTTTTAAGTCCCCTTCCAAAGAAATTGCCCAAGTTCGCTCAGGCATTTGTTTCATCATCTGTCATTATTTTCACAGAGATGGATTTGTTGTTAGAAGATGGGACCATGCATCTGTTGTTATTTTGAGAAGACACAGCCTGGTCCTATCTTTTTGCTTTTATTTCTCCTTTTATAAAACGGTTCTACTGACACTTACATAACTCACTAAACAATATGAGGCTGACTTAATAAATGGTTTCAGAGGGCTTTCATGTCTTGGCCTGAAAGATGTCTGTGCAGATATGCACCATGAGCTCTAGTGTGGAATCCAGCCTAGGCAGAATCATATCAGCCAGCTGACATGGCTGAAACTTCTGCAGGGAAAATACTTAGCAGACGTGAATGGGGGCCCATGAACTCACCCCACCTCAGGATCTATCTCTGCTGTCACTGTCACAGGATGAAGCTGTGATTCACTCCTGTTATCTCTATTGGAACAGGTGGCAAAATTGACCAGCTGGCATGTACCCTGCCCAAGGAGCTGAAAGGGAAGGATATGCGAATGGTACCCATGGAGATGTTTAACTACTGCTCCCAGCTGGATGACGAGAACAGCTCTACTGTGCTGGACAATACTGGCCCACCCTGCACTAAAGGCAGCCCAACTCCTTCCAAATCTAAATCAGGCCCAGAAACAGAAGTGGAGCCCAGTGTGGGATGCCCTCAGAAACAGCGATACAGGCCCGTGAGCGTGCGCCGGGCCATTGGCACTGTGATCATTGCAGGGGTGGTTTGCGGCATCGTTTGCATCATGATGGTGGTGGCAGCTGCTTACGGCTGCATCTACGCCTCCCTCATGGCCAAGTACCATCGGGAGCTGAAGAAGAGGCAGCCGCTCATGGGTGACACAGAAGGTGAACACGAAGAACAAAAACAAATCTCCTCTGTGGCGTGAAACTCTTCTAGGAAGGAAGGGACAGCGATGAAAAAAAGGTACCTGAGAGCAGTCAAGCATGGGGCCCTCCCAAAATACATCTTCCCAGACAGAGAGACAGACTGTGCTATTGCTCCACTCACCCAAGTAGTGCAACATGCTTCTGGGGGGTCAGGGCACCTGGCTCAATTTCTTTTCCTCTGCCCCAGGCCCATTTTGTGCCCTTTCACCCTTGGGGCCTCCCAGACAAAATAAAGTAGAGTCAGACCTCGAGTGCTTGCTGTGCCTCATGCCCTTGCACAGAGCTTCCCTCACATGCCTGCTGCAAAGGCAGCTGGCACATTCTGGGAACCTGTGTTGTTCTCTCAGCTTCGGTCCTGAGTCATCCTGTATCCTGTCAAGAGTTCTCTGCAAACCGAGAGCAGCTCTGTGAAAGCTTGTGTGGGAAGCAGGACACCAGAAGTGTCCATGCCTCACTGTTAGGGTCACTACCTGCAAGTCAGTGCTCCTTACATCAGATGGGAGGGAAGGTCCCCAGGGTAGGACAACAGTCAGTGGGAGAGTTCCTTTCTCATTTTTAAAGGTGGAAAGATAACCTGTGTCACTTTAACACACTGCCAGGAGCACAGTGTCCTTCTTTTTGCTCCTGGCCAAGTCCAAATCTGTGAGCTGACACACATGTCATCTCCTATAGGTGCACAGACACGGAGTCACCCTCCTGTACACACACACACTGACTCATTCTGATCCCAACACGCACACACAGCCAGCCACAGTTCCAGATATCCAGGCACCCCACCTGCACATGCAGAGCCACACATGCCCATGCTGATCTGCCCTCTGTGTGTTGAATACATTCAGCCACTTTACCTTACCCTGATCACAGCACTGCATATTGCCTTCTGCTTCAGACAAAATACATGCACACTGCCACTGAGGAGCTAACAGAGACATCTCAGCCCTAGTGCAGAGTCAGTGGAAACTGGCAGGAGACGGCAGAGAGAGGCAAAGTTATTGAGATTACAGCATGAGTCCGTGAAAAAAATAAGGTGTATTCTTCTTATCTGTTTTATGTTTTCTCTGATAAATGGAGAGGGTAAGGATACAAAGCCTCCATTTAGAAATGTTTGGCTGGCAGAGTAGAACTGGGTCATCAGGAAAGACTAGAGGAGGAGGTGGTTTACCAGCCTCAGTAGCGTAAGCCATGCTGAGTAGTGTGAGCCTGGGGAAAGGTGTCAGGGGAAGAAGTCACACAACTGACATGGCTGGCAGAGGGGCCAGCATGGCGTGTGGAGCAGGGTGATGCAGTTGAGATGACTGAAAAGCGTGGGCGCAATTCTGAGGGGTCTTGAGCTGAAGGTTGAAACCTGGATCACAGCGTGGCAGGTGTGGGAGAGCCCAGGAAGGGTCTGGCATGGAAGGCAGCACAGCCCACATACGCTCCCTTAACCATCACTGGTGTGTTTGACGCCATCCACAGCTGCACACGAGCGTGCCCACACACGCAACTGCACACACTGCCACTGTCACGTAGGGTGACTTCCCCCAGTCAGACTTTAAAGCCCACAGACTGCAGTGCCTCCTATTAGTCTTTGCTCATTCTGACCTGACAGGGGAAAAAAAAAAAAAAGTGAGAGGGGAAAAAAAAATGAAAGGAACTCGACATAAGGACTCATTTTGTATCACTGGAAGTGGGATAAAATGCTGTCTCCAGGGGAGAGCACACATTGCCATGGTAACCTGCTCTAACCCGTCACAGTGGGTATTCCTGGGCGAGGAAGATGACACTGGAGGTCGTGCATCCACAGTGCCTGTGGATGGTGTGATCTCTGCCATCAGGAAACAAGCTGGCAGCCAGCCCAGCTTTGCAGGGTGTTTCGCTGGCAACCTGTGTTCAGAGCCCAGCATGCACTGCAGGTGGACCCTGCCAGGGCACATCACCTCTTCCACCTGCTCCATCTGAATCCCGATGCCTTCGGACATGTCGCAGCCCTCCTGCTCGCTGTGACCGGATCCCTGCGGAAGCAATGCACGCTGGCTCCTCACCCCCTTCTGGCTCCAGACAGGTGGTTGTACTGACCCATGGGCACACAACGTCTTTAATCAAAGCCTGGAGTGGTAAAATCCCTCCTGCTCTACCCAGGGTCACCAGAGGCAAGGAGACAGGATGCTCTGAACTGTTTAAGCATGACTTTCCTTCGACACAGGGATGCATGGGACGGGGGAGGATGTTCTTCAGGAAGCAGAAGACAAGGCTGCCATGGAAGAACAACTGGGAGAAGCAGTCCACCCACAAGTGTGCACACACATTCTACCCCTGCTCCCAGCACACTGCTTGTGAGGAACTGGAAGAGGAGGAGGGGGGCTTGCAAGACGTGAGGAGGAAGGACTCTCACCCCATACACTGTATAGCCACTACAACCATCCCATCTGCTCCAAGTGTAGCCCGTTCTGAAGGGCAGAACTGGTGCACTGCAGACTCCATATGCGTGTCACTGCTGCTCCACATTCCCAGCAAGCCAGGACTAGACTCTGCCTGCTGGATCCAAACCTCTCCCCAGCCTCCCTCTCAGGGGAACTTCTCCCTTTACCATACTGGACTCCACAATCATACTTGAAATGGGACTTGAGTCAGAGTGGTATATTTATAGATCTATATTTTACTTGCATCAAAAAATGGTGAAATATTGCACAAAACAAATGGGATCTATATATGTGTGTGTGTGTATGTATGTGTGTGAGTGAGCAAGAGAGTGAGAGACTGTTTTAAAGGGAATAGACCAGAGGTAAAATGAATGGGAGAAAGGCAGGGCACACTGCAGGGGTTGAGGGGATGAAATCCTCCTTTCCCCGCACCTTCCCTGTGACTTCCTCCAGCCCTGACCAATTTTTCTTTGTTGCTAATAATATTTTCTATATCTTGTGTTGTGGGGCTGATGATGACCTTGCCCATCCTTTCCTTTTTTGTTTTAATTCATACAGCAGAAAGTCTGGATTTATCTCAACCCTAGACAAGGGACTGCTATGTTTAGAAACCCACCCAGGAAAGGAGAGAACTGAGTGCTGCTGAGAAATATGAAGGCTGGCTGCTATGGGGAGTCCCACTGGAAAGCAAATACTCTGCTGGGAAGGATGAGGACCTCTCACACGCAGAGCAGAGTAACTGGGTTCACTGGGAAATACCCTCTTCATGCCACTGTTTGCAAACAGGCTCTTCCTCCTTTCCCTAGCACACCTAGAAAACAGGCTGCCCTGGTGTGACTGAGCTGCTGCACTGTCCACAGGCACACCAGGGAACACGGTAGCTAGCACAGTCCGAAACAAAACTCTCCTGTGGGATGCTGGATACAGAATGACACCCAGTGCTCCTTGCGTGCTCAGCCAATGGGTTCCTTTGGTGTGTGGAGACAGGGGCTCCTGTTATCCCTGCAGGCATGGCTAGGCATGGGGGAAACCCCCCTGAATGCACCCTTTGGTGCAGGCAGGTGCACCAAAGCTCCACACAGGTGCCTGCACTCAGGAAATGGTATTCTGGGGCAGGCAGGTCCAACGCATGCCAGGGCGATCTAGGGGCTGGCAGGGCCACCAGAAACACCCCTTCTGCTCTCCCCCACTCCCCTTCCCCACACATCCACCTGTGGCACAGGCACATTTCTTGCAGGGAAGAGATGGCACTTGTAATTCCTTTTTCTTTTTTGTTACCATTTGAGGGAGAGCGACAAGATTTTCTAAAATGATTGAATGGAGGTTTCTTTGGCATGAGACAGAAAATTTTTAAAGGTATATTATATTTCTGGCTTGTTGTTACAGAATAATAATAAAGAATGTATTTTCCTATGCTCCTTCTTGTTTAAATGAGATCTCTGATGATAAAATTCCCTCTCTCCTTGCCCCCTGCAAAAGCAAACACCACAGGGATACAGCCAGCCAAACGAGAAAGCCCCTCAATTCCCATATATGTATGCTGGTTTGTACACACTGTTGGAACTTGGAATGAACATACACACACACATACACACAGAGTATATCAGTGTAACTCAGGGTGAGGCTCTAGGACTAGACACACAGTCAAGGTGAGACCCTAGATCTAGAAACACACACACACAGTGCTCCAGGGACACAGCCAGACAAGGGTGATTGTGTAACAAGGATAAGATACTGTGGCAATCAGCTCATTACATAAAAGTAGAAAGGGCCAAATTAATCCCTAGTGTAAGAACGCAGAAGCCAACGGAGTTATATTCAGGTCAAATTTGATTCCAAAAGCCTTTTTTTTTTTTTTTTAATTAGAACGTAATGTAACAAATAGTGAGCTATGGCTTCCTACATCTCCAGATTCCTGACCCTCTTGAGCAAGGTTATTTTGAAATGGATGGAAATTGCAGTCTAATCCTATTGCACCCCAAGTACACAAGCTGTCACCCCTGGAGCTAAAAGAGTCTCTCCACCAGCTGTTCACTGGCTTGGTCTATCACACACAGCTAAGAAGTTTAAATTCCCCACTTTGCCACTTTCAGTGCTAAGCATACACAATTCATCACATTCTCATCCTGTGAGAAAAAAGCTCATCCTGACGCATGTGGAACCACAAAAGATGTTAAGCCCCACCACAAGCAAACCCTTGTGCCACCGAACTCACACTGTTATACTCAAGTCACCCTGTTAGTCTCAGGCTGATCTTCAGAGAGAAACTGGGAACAGAACCCAGATACTCTTAATCCGATAAGAGCTGAAGCATCTGTGCTGCTAAAAAGGTATGTGCTGCAAGACAGTCACCATTATTGTTTAATAGTATGGTGTCTATGACACATAGTTTAGTCTAATTTTGCCATGTAGGTAGAGGAGTGCACACAGATACTGCTAAGCAGTTCATATAATACCAGAAACACAGAGCAGAAAAAAAGCAAAGCCAACACACTCATCTGATGACTCCAGGCCTTTTCAGTTCATGAACTATCTGGGAGCAGGCTGTAATTTTCTGCAATTTGATTATTATAATTTGATTATTATTTTATATCGGCAAATGTATTTGTCCTGCCTACCTATCTACTCATGCACACATATAACACCATATATAACCATGTAAATATGTATATATAACATATAAAATGTATAAAATAGAATTCCTCTTCAGTATCTTGTTCATCAGCAGACTGCTGTGCTGGCTTGAAGAGTGTTTGCCAGTATTGACTGGAAGCACAGGTCAGAGGGTCAGCTTCTGTCCTCTGATCAGATAAGTGCAAGTCCTAGCATGGGATTTCTGAGGACCAAAAAGCCCTCCCTCCAAGAACAATACAAACAAAAGAATAAGCACTCCCCAATGAGGACGGTTACAGAATGAAGTGCAAGTAAATAAAGATTTCCTGTGTCATTTCGGAGAGCTCTTGCCATCGGTAGGAGCCCTGGAAATCTGGGGACAAGGCAGCATACCCACAGCTTTTCTCCCCATAGAGGATAGGGGGAAAAGCAACCAACAGGGGCCAGATCTGTCCTTCCCACTGTTATGCTGTGCTGCAGCCAGGCAGACACCATGTGCAGGGCACCTGGAGCCAAGGAGAAAGCAAAGAGTGATGCTAAGAATAACTCTGCCCTGTGTGGAGCTGCTGGGCCAGGACAACAACGTGCCACTCTTTGCTCGGGGCTCCAAGCAGAGATCTGCCCCTTCACATTTGCCTTTTCTGTGTCCTAACTCGGGAATAAACTTGTTTTGTTACAACAGCCACAGAAAATCAAGTCGCAAAGGGCGCCGAAGGAGCGAGGAGCGCAGGTATTTCATTTGAGGCAACACGCACAGACCATACCCTGCGATATTCAACCAGCTCTGCATAAAGCTCAGGGGAAATATGCAGAGAAACAACAATGCTTTGCATTTCTATAGTGCTTGCCTTTGGCAGCTCTCTGGGAGCTTGCAAACATTAATGAATTCACAGAGGCAGAGATTCAGAGAATACAAAGGCCAGAAGGGACTTTAGATCATCCAGTCTGACCTTCTGCGTATTGCACGCTACTTGGAAATCGTGTGGAAAAGAACCACAAACATTATTTGAGGGTGGCAGAAAATGCCTTCCTGTGAAAGGCTTAAAGAGCTCAATCTGTTTAGCTTATGAAACAGAAATTAAAGAAGTTATCCTGCAGAAAGACCAACAGTGAATGTTTACATGCAGCTAAGTCGAATCTTCCAGAAAGGCGTCTACCTTTGATTTAAAAAACATTCAAGAAAGGGAAAAATCCTGTTTCCCTTCATACCTTACCACAGTAACTATTCATGCTCACTGTTAGCATTCATGCTTACTAACTAATTTGAATTTATTTGGTTTCCATCACATTTTTTGTTATGCTTCTCTTCCCTAGATTAAAAAAATAAACCTTCAGTAGCCAGCACCTCTCCCCGTGAAAGCACTTTATGCTCTAAATCCAATCATCTCTCAGTCTTCTTTTAGGTAAAAAAAGCAGATTGAGTTCACTAAGTCTTTTGCCTGCAAAGCATTTCCTCACCTCTGGAACAACACTGTAGCCTATTGTCACACTGTTTACAGTTTTTCCTCCTCCTTTTAGAAGTATTCTTCTCATCCATGAATATCTGTGCTCTGTATTGTACATACGACATGATTTTGCCATAAAATAATAAATATTATCTTTCCCCACTCCTGCCCACCAAACAATGTCTCACAGCCCACTCACTAGGCTGTGTGAACGTTGTTCCTACTTTAAAGGTGGAGTCATATGGAAATACTAGGGCAAACCCCTAACTAGTAATTTTGAGGAAGTCAGAATATGGATAACTGGTTCTGATCCCACTCATAGCCACCTTTATAGTAGTATAAATTCACTGCATTCTATATAAGAGCCTCCAGATTTATGCAATTCTTAGCAAGAGAAAATCTAGCCCTTTATTTAACAGGATGGTCCCCTTCTAGCATTCTCCACTTTTTTAATCCACTCAGGGTCTCATATGGTTGTTTTTCACATCTCTCCTACTGGACATATATGTTTTTGATTCCCCAATTATTATTTCTCTCTCCTCCTTATTTTCATCCTCTTGTGACTGATCATTCCCTTTTCAGTGAGTGCTTCTGACCAGCTGCTTTTCAGATTCTCCCTTCTCTGCTCTGCTCAACTGTCGCTTCTCAGCTGCCACAAAACACACCAGCCCCCACATCCCCACCTGGTTTCTAAGGACTTGTTGTCATAAGCTGGGGTTTCTCTACTCACAATTCTTTAATTTGCAATACCTAAATCAATCAAGAGAAACCACCACACTGCCAAAGGCTGAGAGAAGGGTTTAGATCAGCGCTACGTTCTGGCCTTCCAGGTGCTGTGCTGGGGCTTTCAGCTGCATTAACAAACATATTTTTATTCGGTCATGACTAAAATCACGCAGTGTGTGAACTCGATGGTAAGAAGGCCCATCCTTGTGCCCAAAGGGAATGTTGCACTCAGGGAGTTCCCTGAGTGACCATCCTGCACCTTGTCCGTTGCTGATTATTGTACTGTGGCATGGTGAGACCAGGGACTTCACCCGTTCCCTGGTGATGGAGAAGGGATGGCAGACTAACAGGGTCTCAGCTCTTTCTATTCAAGGCACCACCTCCTTCTTACAGACTTCTCAAGCTCCAGCTTAAACCCATTTGTCTTTTTACCTCAGATTCTGGGTAAAGATGCGTTACCCCAACAGATAGAAACCCCCTTCTAATTTTCCACTCTAAATATTTTCATTGCCTATCTGTACTACACTATCTCCATACAACCATGTGCTTTAGTTTAAATGTTTCCTCCAAGATGCATTTATTACAGCAAACCTATCCACTTTGGTTTGGTTGCATGTGGTTAAACAAGCTGGGTGCTCCCGGGTTCCTCTCACAAAGTCAGACTTCCCTTTCCTCTCATCATCTTTTCATCCTGTCTGTTCCTGTGTCAGCCTGTACTCCTTTGACCAAAGCTGTAACACAAACTAGAGGGGAGGTTTCACAGGGCTTTGGGTAGGAGTGCCAATGCATTTCCCTACTGGGAAAACATCCCTAAGTACTTTCTAGAACAGCATTTGCTTTGTCCACAACTGCATCACACTTTCACTCACCACCATGCCACCATCCCAGCATTTTTTTCCTGAGCTTTCTCAGGATATGTTTACCTAATGAGTCTATCCAGCTGCCTTTCAGCAAGAATCTCAGGACACATCTTGGCAGATGACAAAGGTTCCCTGAATGTTTTGTGGGCAGCAGGGAGCAATGCAGCTTACACTGAGGATCCTCACTGAGTCTTGGCAAAATTGGCCCAACAGTTCCCAGAAGACAAGGACTGCCTCTAGTCCTGCTTGCTGTGCTCTCTGCCAGATCTCACAGAGTTCCCAGCTTACAGAATATTTCTATTATTAGTTGTCAAGCATATGACCTTGTCTGTCGCACTACTGAAATTCATTCTGTTTCTAGTACTCCTGCCAAGGTCAAATAAGGCTTTCTCTATGATATCCTGGTCCTTCCCTGCACTAGCAATGCCTTCTAGTGTTGAATTATCAGGATACTTCCTCACTATCTATAGCTATAGGGTCTGAGGTTAATATTAGCAAAGGCTAATCCCATGGGCGAGCACAGGGAGTGTAACAAGTAACCTTTTGCCAGACTTTGATAGGTGTTCTTGCTGCTTCTGTCTTCCCAGATTAACTTCTCCCTCCCTGCCCCTCACAACTCCTCTGCCTTTCTTATCTTCTCCAGTTTAACTAATTGTTTCTTGTGTGGCACTGTATCAAGTGCTTTACTGAAACACAGAGAGGAGGCCTTTGAAATTTCTTTTGCCTTCCACGAAAACAATCATCTGAAGGAAAGCTATTGGGTTAGTCTGGTATGATCCAGCATTGA